CTTTACCCGATTATAAAAATTTAAAATGATCCATATGCCACAAACGGCACAAATTATCTGTGGATAATTGCGATAAAACTATTTATTTGTATGGTCTATGATATATCTATAAAATTTCCGATTCCCTTATGGTCTTTTTGTACGTAATGCCCGTAATGGTAATCATTTCGTGTGCACAAACACCAGGTGTGCACGTGCCAAACACGAGGCTTTTATACACGTTCATATTTCACACCCTCTGCTCTGATGTATGCCATATGGATGGTGGTTGCAGCTGTTTTCAAAATACAAGCGAATGCAAACAATATTAAATGTGGGTCTGGGAAGATTTTGGTTTACGTACAAATTTGCTTATATTGGTAGGTACGTGGTGCACGGTAGCTGTCACATACTTAATTAACATTCAGGTATTTATTCGGGTTTGCGATGAGTAGGTATGATATCAATGGAAACGTGCACAAAATTATTCACATCTAACCACAGTTATTTTCTATAAACCATACAGGCGCAGTCGAAGCTAATCACCATACCACCACTTACGTGTGCAGCACTTGAAATTAGCCTTAAGTACTTTCTATTTCAATCATTTTATTTCCATACTACCATACATCCATCGAGAACTTTTTATGTAAAGTGCTGACGAGCAAGATCATCAACTCGTAACAATGTTGTAATTGAATATCTTTTGCATGCAAGCAATGCAATTTGTTATGCATTTGCACTTTTTCGTTTATGAAATGAGGTGTTTTCTTGTACAATAATAGCGCAAAGTTCAAAGACTATTAATTTCAAATTACCTAAATGTCCGAGAACGAAGGGCCTCAACTTATAAGGTCAATGACGTTCGTTTCCGTACTATTATAGCATTTGAGTATCGCTAAGTACGAGAGATACTTGAGACATGATTAATTAGTGTTGGGAAAACGTGGCGTTTATTTTGTCCACCCAAGTTCAGTACCTATGCATCTGTGCTAAGCTTTAGGTCCGTTTCGTTGCTTTGAGACTAGTAAATTTGAATGGCATACGAAATGTTCAACGAAATTTTGAAGATCGCAAACTTTTCATTTTAATTTATAGGCATTAAACTGGTCCTCCAAATTTGAAGTGTGCTACCCTAACAAGATCCGTGTTTGAATGCTTTACCGAGGAGGAGTACATGGAGTAGTTGACACAACAATATAAAGCAAAAATTTGCGGGGCAAAAAAGAAGATATTTTAACAATATTTAAAAAATAGTGATGTTTACATTTCTGAAATAAAAATAATGCTCTATCAAATGACACAAAAAGTAAAAATTACTTCCATAAGAAAAAACAAAGTTGATGATGGTTAACCGGAGACGAAACGTCAGACTTAAAAGGCATCTTCTAGAGGAAAAAAAGTTGCCATTATAATAATGTGTCATTTATTTTGAAATATGTTTTTCAATAACTTCGGTAAAAAAACGATTTTGCAAAATTTCGTTTTTTCAGGATATCTCCGAAAGTAATCGGAATTTTTTCAGTTTCAAAACGGTATGTTGTTAAGCATTTCATCGAATTTGAATCAGCCTGTATATAGGCAAAAAATTGTAAATGTATTTTTTCTAGGTTAGTGACATACTAGTAGGTACCTACCCTCATTTTAAAAATCGAAAATTAAGCCCATTTCCGCCTAAACTGGAGGTAAATTTTCCAAATCCATATTTCCTTTCTTTACTTTATATAGGTATACCATAAAAAGTGCAATTATAGGGGGCGCGCTACTTTTGTAGAAGGTGTTCCAGATCTATTCCACGGGTAATTTTGTTCTTATTGAAAATAAAGAATATCATAAATGGTGAGTTTTTGTGTATTGTTTGAGTGCGCGTTAAGAAAATTTGAAACTTCAGGCCAGATTTAAAAAGTGATTTCTATTATTTTTACGATGAAAAATCACTAGCGATCAGGTAAAAATAATTAGTTATTAAAATGATTCAGAGGCGGACGTGATTATGTTAATTCAAAAAACTGACCGATTCACTGACTGGATTTTTGTAAGATGGGCGTTTTTTAATTTCTTTGCCCCGACGATTGAACAAAGAATGAGTAAAAACGATTTACATAAAGCGCATTTCCACTTGCATTCATTTCCCATTTGTAAGATGCAACTTCTGTTAAAATCGTAAAAATCCGGCCACAAATATGAAAAATAGCGTTGCACATGGGCAATCCATTTTGACGTGCTACTTCAATTTCAGTTTATGAGAAGAATTTCATTTCAATGCTTTTCTAAATAAGAAAGTTGGAACTGCGCATGCGCAAACCTAAATTTTAAAACTAATGTTAGATTTTCCTTTGTTCCAAGCGCCTAAGTATCAAATTTCACTTAAATGGTGCCATAGATAAAAAAGTTGGCACTGCGCATGCGCAAAAGAAAATTTTGAGACTGGCGCTCGATGATTCTTTATTCCAAGTGCCTATGTATCACATTTCATTTAAATTCTTCCATAAATAAAAAAGTTGGCACTGCGCATGCGCAAAACCAAATTTTGAAACTGGCGTTTGATTTTCCTTTATCTCATGTGCCTATGTATCAAATTTCGTTTAAATTCTTCCATAAATAAAAAAGTTGGCACTGCGCATGCGCAAAACCAAATTTTGAAATTGGCGTTTGATTTTCCTTTATTCCAAGTGCCTATGTATCAAATTTCGTTTAAATTCTTCCATAAATAAAAAAGTTGGCACTGCGCATGCGCAAAACCAAATTTTGAAATTGGCGTTTGATTTTCCTTTATCCCAAGTGCCTATGTATCAAATTTCGTTTAAATTCTTCCATAAATAAAAAAGTTGGCACTGCGCATGCGCAAAACCAAATTTTGAAATTGGCGTTTGATTTTCCTTATCCCAAGTGCCTATGTATCAAATTTCGTTTAAATTCTTCCATAAATAAAAATGGTCGAGATGCGAAAAGGGCACTGTGAATTTTGAATCGATTCGATTCAACTTTTGGCATTGCGTATTATATGGCTAAAGCTATGTCCATATTGAATTTCATGCAATTCAGTTCATAACTAACGGAGATGTAAAAGCGATCGAACATTTCTAAACAAAGTTATCGTTCACACGGACATATAGATGGACAGACAGACAAAGGAACAGACGGAGAGACCAACCGGCAGGCGACAGATAGTAATGCAAAATTATAAACGATCTCTAGGATCGTTAATAAACGGCAAAAGTGTAAAATTATGGAACATGTAAAAACGGTTTTTTGTTTTTTTTTACAATAACTTTTTTTTTAAGCGGTACAGAAAAAATTCCTTCCTTGGTACAAGACTCGACACCATAACGAACCAAATAGCGAAAAAAGTAGAACAATAGCTCTTAAAATAAAAAACTAGTAGCGTCGCAAAGTTAGCGGACGGACGGACGGACGGACGGACGGACGGACAAAGTGGCCACAATAGCGCATTTTTTTTTTTATTTTTGTGGAAATGCGCTAAAAAAAAGATTATTTTTACACTTTCATTTCGACTTTCATCAAGTATTCTTTAATTAATCGTTCCCTTTCATCGTTAGAGTAAAAATTTTTTTTTAATTACCTAGGCAACATAAAAATATTAACATTGTCTAAACGAGCACAAAATATGCAAGCTTTGTATACTTGTTTCAGTTAATAAAAAATCAAACTAAAATTCTTGTAAACATGCGTATCTTATGTACTACTTGAAGTATATCTTCCACAGGGTGTAACATGTAAGTATCTCAACTAAACAAACTGAAGTGGTTTTTGGTTGTTTTTGGAACTAGTCTCCCAAAACTCCCAAAATCTATTTGATTCGTAAGTTCTCTCACAACAACTCTAACACATAGGAAGATTAAATTATATATCCCTTTTTCTGAGTTTTCGGTATCGGTATTTCTGATTTTGTAAACATTTTCCCCAAAACCATACACCGAAAACATCTCACGCTTAAACAGAAGTGTGAAAATCTTGAAACTTGAAAAAAATCTACAGGAATCAAATTCTAGCCATTGTTGTAGTCCGACCACGAATATGTCAAATGGAGTCCAAATTTTGTGTATTTAAACAAATGACAAATGTTAAATAGTGAAGAGTTATTTATACAAAACCGAAGGTGTTATACCTAGCTGAAACGAGCACTCTTTAAGAAACTCATATTCTCAGATTCAAGATTCATAGATAATAATCGAATCAGCTCGTCGTTGTAATTGAAATTAAACAAAATATTTACCGACAATGCAATCCATTCTTTTAAAAACAGGGAGGTGTCTAAATTACTAAAAGTGATGGACCAAAAATTCACATAATCAATTTTAAATTATATATATGATTACACTTCTGCATTCAGAAGAAAAGCAAGATCAATGTTGAGGGGAAATGCAAAATCATACCGAATGGCGAATGATTGCAGAGTACCTAATCACGATATACTACTATCATTATCTATTTAATAGTCTATTAATTCGGTTTTTATTACACATTCTTCATAATAGTATAATATATAAATATATATATATATAGTGAGTAATAAAGTCAATAAATAGCATCAATAAATGTACCTAATTATAATGAATAGGCACAATAGGTACAGTAAGAGATATCTTACTGATCTGTTAGTAATCTAACACACCTGCATCCAGTGAAACATACACGCAATCGTATTAAAGCAAGAGAAATGAGTAACGTATCCATCTGTATTCAAAGAAATCTTACAAGAGCATAGCGTTTGAATCATAGTACACGGAAAATTTTAGCATTTAGGTATTAATCACGTCTGAGTATTGAAAAAGAGTAAGTCAATGTGCGGTTGATTCATGCCATTAGCATGTTAAAGATCACCTAAGTACCTAAGTATATTTCATAGATTTTGCATTAAAACTATGGAATTTGAAAAACCACTTAAAAGAAACGGAAATTAGGTTTTTTCATTAAGAGAATCATATTGCTCGTGTCTAAAATTTGACGATAAAATGTAAACTATTCAAATTAATTCTACGTTAATGAATTTAACTGACCTTGTCACGATGATAATTGTAGTAGTATAAATCCGCAGGAAATTACAAAGCACTAACCTTTAAGGTCACCACTTCACAAAAAAACGAGTACCTTAGTTTACGACTTTTTTGTAAAACGCGGCTCGTCAAAGCGCCACAAATTCATATTCAACAATAAGCGCCAGATTAGTTTGAATACGCGCTATAGCTTGGGAGGGGATAAAAGCGGCGTTATTGGTCGCTTTTCGGCGCTTTAAATCGTATAAGTACCTACAGTAAAATTTTAATAATAATTGCACTGCCTTTATTTGAATATTATTTTAATCGCTCGTTATGATAATAAACTTTCGATTTTTGTTCAAAGTGGGTAATTGAGTCAATTACGCGTGCCCGTAACGTACGGTAAATCGTATGGGTAAACATATACCATTCCTTATTAGAACATTTGCTCAAGAAGACAGTGAAATTCTATGTATAATTGGATTAAAATAAGTAGAACAGTACTTGAAGAATGAGGTAATTGTATTTACTATAAATAGAAGCAGGTAACCAGGTTCAGCACATTGAAATCGTGATCAAGTTTTCAAAAACATTATTTGTTGAAGTGCATGAAGCGGAAATTTAACAAAGTTTTCGTATTCCGATTCAACTTTTTCAAGATTTATTCATTAATTGGTAAACTAGTTATTATTTGAACCATTACCACAGTCTACATTATCGTCAGTACCTATTGGAAAAAACTGCAGACCGAATAAGAAACTCCACCATAATGACAAGTTAAAAAGTAATCGTAAACGATTTACATAAAGCGCATTTCCACTTGCATTCATTTCCCATTTGTAAGATGCAACTTCTGTTAAAATCGTAAAAATCCGACCACAAATATGAAAGATAGCGTTGCACATGGGCAATCCATTGTTGACGTGCTACTTCAATTTCAGTTTATGAGAAGAATTTCATTTCAATGCTTTTCTAAATAAGAAAGTTGGAACTGCGCATGCGCAAACCTAAATTTTAAAACTAATTTACTATAACTAACTAATAAACTAAGATTTTCCTTTGTTCCAAGCGCCTAAGTATCAAATTTCACTTAAATAGTTCCATAGATAAAAAAGTTGGCACGGCGCATGCGCAAAATAAAATTTTGAAACTGGCGCTAGATTTTCCTTTATTCCAAGTGCCTATGTATCACATTTCATTTAAATTCTTCCATAAATAAAAAAGTTGGCACTGCGCATGCGCAAAACCAAATTTTGAAATTGGCGTTTGATTTTCCTTTATCCCAAGTGCCTATGGATAAATTTCGTTTAAATTCTTCCATAAATAAAAAAGTTGGCACTGCGCATGCGCAAAACCAAATTTTGAAATTGGCGTTTGATTTTCCTTTATCCCAAGTGCCTATGTATCAAATTTCGTTTAAATTCTTCCATAAATAAAAAAGTTGGCACTGCGCATGCGCAAAACCAAATTTTGAAATTGGCGTTTGATTTTCCTTTATTCCAAGTGCCTATGTATCAAATTTCGTTTAAATTCTTCCATAAATAAAAAAGTTGGCACTGCGCATGCGCAAAACCAAATTTTGAAATTGGCGTTTGATTTTCCTTTATTCCAAGTGCCTATGTATCAAATTTCATTCAAATACTTTTATAAGTAAAAAAGTTTGCAATTCGGTTTATAAATGGTCGAGATGCGAAAAGGGCACTGTGAATTTTGAATCGATTCGATTCAACTTTTGGCATTGCGTATTATATGGCTAAATCTATGCCCATATTGAATTTCATGCAATTCAGTTCATAACTAACGGAGATGTAAAAGCGATCGAACATTTCTAAACAAAGTTATCGTTCACACGGACAGATAGATGGGCAGACAGACAAAGGAACAGACGGAGAGACCAACCGGCAGGCGACAGATAGCAATGCAAAATTATAAACGATCTCTAGGATCGTTAATAAACGGCAAAAGTGTAAAATTATGGAACATGTAAAAAACGGTTTTTTGTTTTTTTTACAATAACTTTTTTTGTAAGCGGTACAGAAAAAATTCCTTCCTTGGTACAAGACTCGACACCATAACGAACCAAATAGCGAAAAAAGTAGAACAATAGCTCTTAAGATAAAAAAACTAGTAGCGTCGCAAAGTTAGCGGACGGACGGACGGACGGACGGACGGACGGACGGACAAAGTGGCCACAATAGCGCGTTTTTTTTTTATTTTTGTGGAAATGCGCTAAAAATGTGAAAAAATGCATATTTTATGCTTAATATATTTTTAATTTGTTACAAATTAATTACAAGAAACCTGGCAAGGAATTTCCCTTAAAAAGGGAAGAGTAGACTCGCAATCAGCTGTCTATTTACACACTAAATTCCTTCAGAACTTCGACGCGTTTGAAAAATAGATCCATTCAGTTTTTCATTAGTGTGTAGTACGTTCCAAGCAAAACAAGCATGATCTAATAATATAATAATTATAATAATATACTAATACTTCCTCCCTATATTAGGCACATTTTTTGAAATTAAAATAATCCTGAATTACTTTGTATAGGAGTCCTTCCTCTAGTGAAGTCCAAGGTAAGTTGGGGTGCCTCGCCCAACGCTTGTATTCACCTTGCAAAAAATTCGTTGTTTTTTTTCCTGAAACATGTGAATCGGTAAGTAAGTTAGTAAGTAAGTAAAAGAAAAATAAACCGGACGTCAGTAAGTAGTTTTATTGGTAAGCTAAGACAACTCAAATAGGTACCTACTTTAGGTAAGTAAAATAACGTTCAAAATAGGGAATATTCCTCTAGGTTCAAAGTTTAAATGAAGATAAAAATAAGTACTTACTTTTCAGGCATAGACAAACCCGTTTGAACCCCCAACCGCGCTATAAGTGCCACTTTTATTAATGAGTTCAGAAGGCTGTATTAATTTTAATATCATCCTCATTGTACCAGAGAAAGTCATCATTCTCGGGCCACTTTTAGACGATAACTTCCGGTCTACAACCTATCAGAGATACCTATGTACCTTTTTTCTCCACCAAGACATAGTCGCCTTTTATTTGCTGAGATGGGCCCATGCGGGTGGTCATCTGTGTCAGAATCATCAATACGGTAAGCGCGGTTATCAGTAGCAGAGATTCTTACAGTTTTCCAATCATGCTTATGCTTCTTCTTTGGAGGGTGTTTCTGGACACACTTGCTAGTCGCTTTTTAGTTGTTGTGACTTATTTTGATGAGATTGTAATTTTTTCTAATTGTATTGTAGGTACCTTTTTAGAGCATTTTCCACAAAAATGAAAAAAATGCGCTATTGTGGTCACTTTGCCCGCCCGTCTGTCTGTCCCTACGGCCATTAAATCGCTATTAGTTCTTTATCTTAAGAATTGGGTGCATTGATCACAACACGGGCCCAGTTGCGATGGAGGTCAGATAACTCATTTCCTACTTGCAAATGGAGTAACTGAGCCGTTGTAACAAATTTACGAAGCACCTCATTTATCCGGATAACATATTTATTTAAGAATAATCTTTTCTCTGCAACAGACAGGAGGAGGATAGAATTTCAGGACATGTCTAGGTTTTTGCGTATGGGCCATTTCTGATGATTTTGGAAATGTCTCACAATTCCTACTTCCAGATGAAGCACACTTAATCCTGACCTCAACCAATTCCGACCTGAGAATGGTTCAAGATTGTCGAAATGTCGTGTATAATTTCATACATGCCAAAAACCAAAAAAACTTGGAGCGCTACTCCATTGGACTACTACCAAACAATCAAAAGTTGATTTCTGTGCATATGGTTTTCCAAACATCCTCGTATTTGAGATATAAATAGAAAATTTAAGTTTTGTCAGTATACGTATATATCTGTATTCTGTGGTTTTGCTATTCCAAGGCAAGCGAATTCGAATGTAAACTAAATTTCAATCATTCAATGGCTATCAAGCATTTTGATTTTTCCGAATTAAATGTGTACCTATCTACTTAAATATTACCTATAGATAGCTCTCCGTCAAAATGCACCTGGTCATTAAAGAAAATTAATAAAATTCATTTTTTGAAGATCGATATAATTCCCAACGAAACCAATGTACAATAACCACATCTTTTTGTTAAAATAAAACAGGAACACGGGCCCACCTTCCACACAAAATAAAATTAAATACTTACACAAGTTATAAGACAAGGCTTATAAATGAATAATGAATTTCATTTATACAGAGGAGTCAACATGTCCATCATTCTGTGGCGGCAATCACAAATAACTGGATGTCCCAGCGACCCCGTGGCCTGTCGTCCCAATTACCCAAACTTACCTACCTTACTTAAGAGTTATTCAATGAGCTTGTATTTCTTTGATAGAATTCATGTTGATGTTCGATTGGTGTGAGTCCAAATGGGATAAATCTACAGTATACCTTCAAGGCCCTCCAACAGTTTTCTTCAACCACAAAAAATATTATTATTTTTACACGATTTCCTATTTTACGGAAAGTCGACCCACACTTTGTAATTTTAAATCGAGTTACCCTATTTTTGCTTCAGATTTTCGGCGCTTCTGATTCCGAGCTGTCGACACACGTGTCCATAAAGTTAAAAAGTTGTCAGCGCTGACAAAAGCTGCCCGGTATTTGACGTATGCAAATCAATGTTAAATGGAGCTTTCAGGAGAGCAGGCTGCAGTTTTATTGCTCCTTAGTCATTAGTGACAATTTTGCAAGCAAGATAAAGCCAATTTTAGTAGAGTACGCCCTAGTGTTATATTAAAAATTGTCTCTTTTGGACTAATAAGAACCATTTGTCGTTTAACTTTAAATTTCGATTTATCGGTTATTTTGTTATCAGAAACTTTCTACTCGTGAAAGACCTATTTGCATGCTTAAAATTTAGGTGATATTCTACTCTTTCGCCACCTATCGGCATAAACCGCAGCACCGCCCATCTTACCAAATGAACGTAAATAACAATCCAGAAATCGGAAACCAGAGTGAACAAATCATTTCGGTAAAAATCGAAGTCAAACTGTCAGCGCGCAGGAAACTTGCGGCTGTGATTATACAGTAATCAATGCTTGCTGGTAAGGAACGTGAAATTTCTACGTAATAACGTAAGCGCTCCTGCACACGCACACTGTATATAAGTCTTTTGAATTTCCCTCTCTTTTGAATAAAATTTAAAATTCCTGATACTTTATTTACAGTAATCACAATTATATTTATAAAATCTATAAATCTTTATTCTTTATGTTTTGAGATCGAATATATATTATTTTCTAAATTACAAATAATTAAAACTATTTAAGCATTCAATTGACTAAGTATTTCAGTTGAGAAAGTTGCCGCCTGAGTGAGCCACCGCATTCTTTCCTTTTGTGACATCGTTTTTCAGAAATTAACAGAAATGAGCACAAAACCAGCAAAAGTTCATAAGGTATTATTAATAATCATTTAATTGTCTTTTATTAATCTTCTAATGTTTCCCTTGCTTTAGAAAAAGAGGGAACCGCTACCATCGGTCCAGGTTTTCGGCAGAAAGGTAATTATGTTACACGTGTTTTTTGGAGGTTACAATTAGCATCAGCAAGTAAAGAGAATTTTACAAGAGTGTTTGTTTTTAGAAATCTGCAACCGCAGTTGCATATTGCAAACGTGGTAGAGGGAATTTGAGGGTAAATGGCCGTCCTTTGGAACGCGTTGAACCCAAAATGTTGCAAGACAAATTGCAAGAACCCATCTTGTTGTTGGGAAAGGTTAGTATAATAAGATGTACTTACTATGCGATCAAAAATGAGTCTGCCCAGTCACTTTTGGAATTTTTGTTTACATGAGAAATCGTACTTAACCTGAGCTTCCAAAGGTCTCGACAGCCACTCATTTTTGATCGCCCGTTATTATGGATGAGCACACTCAAGCAGAAACATTAGTGTAGTATACCAATTAATTGATTTGCAAGTGCTTCGTGACGTTAGTTTATACTGTTAAAACGGTTGTGTTGTATTTGTATACAACGAATTTATCTGTATATTCTCAATCCTTTTTTTTTAAGGAAAAATTTGCTGCAGTTGACATCAGAGTACGTGTGAATGGTGGTGGTCATGTATCACAAGTGTACGCGATTAGACAAGCCATTTCTAAAGCTTTGGTAGCCTATTATCAAAAATGTAAGTTCATGAGCTCGTATGACTTTTGAGTAACAGCTGTTTTTTAAGATGTTGATGAAGCTTCAAAGAAAGAATTAAAAGATATCTTAATTCAGTATGATCGTACATTGCTCGTAGCTGATCCCAGAAGGTGCGAACCCAAAAAGTTTGGTGGTCCAGGTGCTCGTGCGCGCTATCAAAAATCGTACCGTTAAGATTTTACAACTCTTTTGTTGTATTAATAACTACAATAAACAAAATTTATAATTAATTCTCTTGTTTGATTTTTAATTTTGTTTAAGAAAAGTTGTGCGGCATTCATACTAAAATTTCAGTACCTATCCATCTTTTGAAACGTATAAAGCGGTTGTTTTACATTAAAAAATATGAAATTAACAGCCGTACAGAGTATAATGACTGCATGTGGTGACTCGCTCGAGAGTAAGCAGTGGTACTTATATCACAGATTTAAGAGTGTTTAAATCTGTGCTTATATCATGTTTAGGAATATGTTCAATGACCAAAAACAATTGACATGTTGAGGGGTGTGCAACTTCCAAACATGTACACTATATAAATATTAAGTACTTTGTAGGAATAGTAAATATTGTAATCTTTACAATCTTAAATTAAATTAAAATTAAATTTTACAGGGTTAATACTATTCTCACGTATTTAAATTACGTTACCCTATAGATAATGGCAATGCCCATTGTCAAACTATTGCCGACTTTACAATTGCATGATATGGAATTTCTTCACGTTTTCCTAAAATTCAGCTAAACACTACTTCTGTTTTCAACTCCAGTCTTTAGATAAAATATCCTGACAGTTCAGGAGACCAGTAAACTTCTCTGTTTAAGAGTTGGTATTCCCAAGTAAAGTCTAACATCAGAAAGTTTATGGATATAATATAGTCTTTCAAATAAGTGAACAAAGGAATATATGTTATCGAAAACTGATTAATCGGCTTCAAGGATTCAGAGGTCCAGGAAAGTGTTAATTCTGAATGTTCTGGGTGACGGTTTGGCACTGGTGAACTGCTGGAAGAACTTCCACAACATTTAAGAAACATTAGACAATGAAATTAAACCTTATGTTTTGGAAAAAATTGTAGTTACGCTTTTTGGCGGTTACTCTTAGATATCTCTATAAACATCTACCATCCATATCGTAGCTATATATTCAATGCAGAGAATAATCTTGCAATTTAAATTTGAAAGAAAAGAAATTACTGCCTCCCAAATTAAACAGGTATAAATTGTGCACAACTCTTGTGCAGATAAAGCACGTTTTTTTTTAACCGAAATAGCTTTTGTTTTGACATCACCTATGGATATATTTCTTGCAATCGTCCTTTGTGAGTACCCTCTTCCGACAATCCGTTGTTGAGGTATAAAGGAATATACCCAATCACGATAAGAAGTCGAGGAGGAGGAGTATGGATGGTAGAAATTAATTCCTTTCGTTGAGACCTTTAATTAGAATACAATGAAAGATAAAATCAATCCCCGTCGCTCACTGATCTCGAGAAAGAGTCGCATGGGAAAGTTATAGTTTGTACAAACCATTTTATTATTATGTACTTACTGTCACTTATAAGTCCCATAAATGGGACAAACTACATTGATTTGCTCCATGTACAACAAAGATATATTGCATTAACTGACCAACGTGAAATGTATTTTCCATTGGTAAAATTACACTACTGCAATTTTTATAATTCATTGTCTAATAATGACCAATAGTTTTACGAATCATACAAGCTAATAGAAAATCATCCCTCTGGCAAAACTGAGAAGAAACCAATTTTATATAAAATGATGTATATACCTTCCTACTAAGTAAACGTAATGGTTAAGTTTTTTATTTGTAGTAAAACACACAAATTATTAAATCAACATACAAATATCTACACATAATTTTACATCCTACTTTGGATGTACTTTAAAAAGATCACTTATTCCGAACTGTATTGGAATGAAATATATCAACTGTGGTTTCGTGACAAGGTCTTAAATCCAAGTCAAACGTTCCCAAGGAAAATTTTGTTTGAGGAGCTTTGAAGTAGTCCAGGCCTCGTCCAATTTTAATTATCCAGCCAGTGCTCAACCTGCGAAAGACTCAGTAAAATTGAAGTTTCCATTTACTAAATACCCTTACGTAATTTGTCTATCATGTAAAGTATCAGAATATGTAATTTTTAGGTTGACCTTGCGCTGCAACAAGCTATTCTGCACTTCATTTAACCATTTGGCCTGTTCAGCTCCACTGTTTACTGTAATAAGCTCAATAAAACGTACTTGTGTACATTTCTTTACCACCAATTCAGAGAATCGAACAAGATTTTGACATTGATGGTGGGTACGTATGTAAGGATCCTCAATTCTAATATTATCAACATCCTGATCCAAAAATCTACTAAATATACTGTTATAGCTATGACCTATGGAATCGTTTTCCACATGAATTTGTTCATGAAAGTTACCTTCTCTTTTCAATTTTTCTATTAGTTCTTTTATTTGTTCAGCACGTTTCATATATTCTTCCACTTTTGCACGCAAATAGACTCGCTTTTCACCATCCTGTTCTAATGAAAATTGTTACTGTAGTGTGAAGACAGTTTAGCTACAAACCCTTCAAGACATCCACTAACACTTGTAAACCTTCTTGGTAGCATATTAAAGCTTCTGTGTACCGTTTTTTACCATCTAACTCTACAGCTCGTTGGAGTAAGTTGCCAGCAGTTGATTGCAAACTCATGATATTGTTTTATTTATCTGTTTTAAGTGAATAATCAAAAGTAAGTAACCAAAAAAGAATGAATAAAAAATAAATACAATCATTTATTCACAAATTATTAATTACTAATTTCCAACGTTGCCACAATTAAATAGTTGGTAGCGAATAGCGATATTTATTCTGTGGTTGCCAGTTTACATCTTTTTACCCAAAATCGTCATGAAACCTTCATTTTCATGCCTACTTTGTCAGGAAAGCGTTAGCAAAGAGGATACTCTTTAGCGTTAGTTTCCATGACGGAGGCAGACCAGTCTACTTTTCCTGCCGCCTGCCACTTTACCGGCCGCACTTGTCACTTTACCGGCCGCACCTGTCACTTTACCTGCCGCATCTGTCACATTGCTAAACGTCTATAATGACTCCTGTCATCACTGACAGATTGATATTAATCAAAAGTTCTATATAAAAATTGAAATTTTATGTTAAAATACGATTTCGGGTAAAATTTAATACAAAACTCGTCAGTAAAATGACATTACTTGACTCGGAAATTAAAGTACTCGGCCCCAAAGGGGCCTTGTACTTCAATATTTCCTCGCCAGTAACGTGTCATTTTCCTGACTTTTATGTAAATAACCAATTATGGATACTCTTTGAAATAACTATTACGTGAACTGTAAGAAAAAATTGCGGGATATTTATCATTGATTATACGTGTATAATCAATGATATTGATCACGACATGCCCATGACTAATATACACTATCTGATATTGAAAATATAACACCTAGTAAATATGAATATATCTTAAATATTTTTTGGTAACGGACTCGTAAGCGTAACAATTTGAAATGGAATCAAATAGTTGGTGCCTATGTTACCTGTTATTAAAACAAAACATCGCCGTTTATTATTGCCATTGTATATGTATAATTAATATACTTAAGCCGTACGTAAAGTTGAAAAATTTTCAACTTTTGTGAATACGCGCGAAGACATATCACTTAAATCACTACGTTTAAAACCGTACGTAAAAATTACGTTCCTTATAAACATCTTATGTTTATGTATGTTTCTACAGTTTAACTTTACTAAATTCTTAAGTTTTATGTATTTCTTACATATACGTTCCTTGTAAACAAGCACTAATCCGTTATTGAAATTCATTTATTTTATTATATGGGCTATGTGTAGCTGGTAGTATTATTATTCACGAAGTATAAATCGTGGTGCTTGTGGGATAAATAACATACATAGACCCAGAGTAGCGGCATCTATGATTTTATAATTAAAATAAAAATTTATACAAGTGAAAAATGTCATCCAATTGGGTCAATTGGACCAAACTAATTTTTCAAAAAAATTCAGTTTTGTAAATTATGTCAGCCTCATTTTCATAATGATAACAAAAACGATAGACGCAGGTTTAAGAAGCACATTTTAATAATCACAGTTTAATTTATTATTGAGTCAACTACATTGGTTTTCGTGCACAGTGTATGCAAGTGGTCATACTAAATGCCGCGCTGGCGGCAAGGTGGCCAAGAGCTCTGCGATGCTCAGTTTGGAGCAGGAAACTGGAGCTTGGGATTCTGTGCTACTTGAACCGTTTACGGAAGATACTTTTGTAACTAACCTTCAACAGCGTTTCAAACGGGATCACATATACACTTACATTGGAAATATTCTATTGTCGATAAATCCGTATAAGAAATTAGCTTTGTATTCAACTGATCTGGCGGAAACGTATGTGAAAAGAGGTCCATTCCAATTACCGCCACACATGTATTTATTTGCCTACTTATACACTGTTAAGATTAATGTGAACATTTTAGATATGCTATTGCTGCAACTGCCTATCGGTGGATTAATGATCGAAATGAAGACCAGTGCATTGTTGTTACAGGTAAAATACTATGCAATCAAAAATGAGTTGCTGTCAAGTCACCTTTAGAATTTTTGTTTACATGGGAAATTGTACTTAACTTGAACTTCCAAAGGCGACTCGACAGCAACTCATTTTTGATTGCCTGTTAGTTACTGCTTGCTCATGATTTTTTTTACTTTTTATAACTTTTATTTCTAACAACCATTTGTACCATCTGTAACATAATAGTGTTTTAAGAAGAGGTTTCATTTTAAAGTAGGTAATATAAAGTATCAGATAAAACTCCTTGGAAGAGAGGTAGTAGCCCTCATTCCGAAAAGTAGACTACTGCTAATGTCAGAGCTGCATTACTATTATATAGCTTTTATATCCTGAGGACTGCAGAGAGTTGATGAAGAAAGTAAAAAAGTTCTTATTTTTTAGGTGAAAGTGGTTCAGGAAAAACAGAAGCAGCAAGAATTGTTCTTCAATTTCTGGTGCTTGTTTCCAGTGACAATAAAGAAGCAAAAATTATGAAAGATAGACTGGTGCAGGCTAATACATTACTAGAGGCTTTCGGAAATGCAAGAACAATGAGGAATGATAACGCATCTAGATTTGTAAATATTTTTTTAGCAAGTGAAAGTATTTTTGATGATAGTGTAATTTTTAGGGCAAGTTTTTGGATATTGAGTTCGATTATAAAGGTGATCCGGTTGGTGGCCATTTAATGCACTGTAAGTCTATAAGAATGGTATTCAATTGTAATCTATTTATGTGGCCTGTCTGTCTTAGAAATATGACGTATTTTCTGTTGATATAATTGTCATCCTTTAATTAAGTAGAACGATAGTTTTCAGTAATTCAGTTGTTATAACATGCATAGCATCCACTGCTGTCTCTCACTTTATTAGAAAGAAGTAGTAAAGCTGCCAAACTTGTCACGTGGCTTACGTGTGAAATTCAGCACTTATTTCATATACTTCAACTAGTGTGTCTGGATAAGTGCCCATTCATTTTGGTATGTGCATGCACGAGCTCAATGTTAAACAATGTGATAAAGTCTAATTTTTGTAAAATACTGCTAAATTCCCCAATAGCAGGTTTTCCATTTTGATGTAGTTTCAGAAAAAATCATGTGAAAAACTTGAGAAGAAAGTGTTTTTCAACTCTCGCTCAACTTTAAACTCGAGTTGAAAAACTCCACTTTCTTCTCCAGTTGTACAATATTATGTAGTTGGATACAATAGTTAATTGTACAACTAGCTAGTTGAAACACTTTCTTCTCAAGTTTTACACATAATTTTTTGTGTAACTATAATCAAAATTGAAAAATTACCGCAAGTCTCTGTGAAATGAAATCGCCTCTTAATACTGCGACTGGTAAAAGTGGAGCACTATTATTTCTTTCTCGTTCAATATAATGAATAAGATTAGAAATAAGTTACCTACTTTTTCTTGGTAAATCCGATGACATTTTTGGGTTATACAAATGTTGACGCAGAACATCGCACTGAGAATTACGGAAGTTATGCTTCTAGAATTGTTCGTTATGAAACTAACGGATTTTTTATGGGCTAATGTAGCAAAGCGCGATTAAATAATGAGAAATGTAGCAAACAGTTTTCAAGTGTCGCAATGTAATCTACCCCAATTTCGATTGACACGTAACCTGAAAACAAAAAAAATCCGTTTCGTGGTTTTAGTTTTTAAATATCGCACAACTCTGCCTCAAGAACCTATATTTTGTGAGATACATCAGTCTAACATAAACATGTAATTCCAATGTTTTAAAATGATTTTTTTATTTTGTTAAGGCGTTCGCATTACAATATTCCCCATAAACAGGAAATTGTTTACTACTTATTCAAGCAGCAAAACTTATTCTGCACAACCTCCTATTACTTTGGGTATTCCTAGACCTGGATGCTCTTTAGTCACTAGCGATAATGATTGAAATTGTAGTACATCTACTTTGGTGCAAAAGAAAAAAAACAATTTTACATCAAAATTAATTTACTATTTCATTGAGAAAACTGAAAAATATTTCAATAGAAGCCTGTAACAACAGTAATTGCTGCAGTCTCCTATTCGTCGGTTTCATAATGTAAAGAAAGAATAAACACATATTTGTATAATGTTCAATCTCTTCATGATACAATTTATTGAAAAGGTTTAATTGAAATATTTTGTTTCATTGCTACTTAGATTTATTGGAGAAGGTTTGTATGACAATCCATGTGTTAAAATAATTGTATTTATTTGCAGTCGAGGACAACAAATTTAGTATTAGGTGATCGCAATTTTCACATCTTCTATCAACTGCTGTCCGGAGCTGATATTCATTTTTTAAGTAGGGGTACTTACTTTTAAGGGTCAATACCTTTCTAACACTACTTGTAGAAAATTTGAAATTGCAACGTAACGTGGAACATTATTGCCTTCTCATAACAGAAGATAATCAATCGACGCAAGCTGAAGAGGAAGATAAGAAATTGTTTCTGTATACTCGAACAGCACTGGAGGTGTTAGGGTTTTGTGTCGAGGATGTTATCAATATATTTAGAGTGATTGCTGTAGTTTTAAAGTTGGGAAATTTACAGTTTGTGCCTTGTAATAATATTGATGGCACTGAAGGTTGTGCTATCAAAAATGATTATGGTATGATGCCGCGTGGCTGCTAACTGGTAGAGTAATTAATTGTTTATTAGAGTTGTATGAAATTTGTGAGCTGCTAGGCGTGGAACACAAATGGCTACAGAGAGCTTTAACTTGTCGTCACATGGATGGTGGTGTTTTAAGTGACTTAAATGCTGGCGATGCATCAAGGACCAGAGATCTTTTATGTAGAACTCTTTACAGCAGACTATTTACGTGGCTTGTAAATAAAATTAATATTATTATTAAAGTGAGTAGAGCTGCATGCTGAAGTATTAAGGTAACTTGATTTTTAAGGCAAGGCATTTTGGTAAACGAAAAGTATTGGGAGTGCTCGATTTTTATGGATTTGAAGTTTTCGAAAAAAATGGCTTTGAACAACTTATGATTAATTACTGTAATGAAAAAATACATCAGCTAGTGATTAACTTAACATTGAAGAACGAGCAGGAAGAAATTGTTAAAGAGGGATTAGAATGGTCGCGGATAGAATTTTTCAATAATAAGTATGTTTTAGTGTTTATGAGTAATATTTCTACAATACTTTTTAGTCAAATTTGCCAATTACTGGAACACGAAAAGCATGGATTATTGTCGTTATTAAATGAACCACATGTACAGTGTGATTCAATGTACTGGACGCGCGTGGAGCAATGTTGTACTGGCCATACACACTGTCTAACAACAGACCCAAATTTGCCACCGTTTTGCTTTCAGTAAGTCTCTTAATTTGCTCTGCATTTTCTTACTAAATAAACTACCTTTAGAATCCGGCATTATGCGGGAACTGTAGTGTATAACATTAACGAGTTTGTTGACAAAAACAGAAATTTTTTACCAAAGGAAATCTCACGAGCTATGTTTCATTGTGATCATCCACTTATGCCAGTTTTATTTCCTGAAGGGAATCCCAAACGGTGTAGCATCAAACAGCCCTTACCTATTTCGACGCAGTTACGTGTTGCTCTTACCTCTTTGTTAAATAGCTTAAGTAGTCGTCAAATGCATTACATTAGATGCTTAAAGCCAAACGAGCTCAAGCAACCGAGAATCTTTGAAATGGCCTTAGTACAGCATCAGGTATGTATATCACTTCAACTATACATACAATCTTGGACTGATAGCCTGTGAAAAACTACGAGGCAGACATTTATAGTGTAATCACGCGTTTGGTTTGACAATTTTAGAACAATTGTTTATCATATGTATGTCGTAATATCAACACAAATTAGAAGCAGAGTATTTCTGAGAAGCAGTTTAGTGATTTACAATAACGCATGTATACAGGGTGGTGCCTAGCGCAATGCAGCATAGGGATTTAATGGTAATTTCTTTATAGTCAATTACTAGCTCCCCTAATTATTTTTGAGCAAAAGTCTAAATAAGTTTAGAGAAAAAAATAATGCATCTATTCATACTATTAATAATATTTTTCCGTTTTTTTTATACACGAGTTGAATTGTCATATTTAATTCTGTTTCAATTAACCGACGCAATATAATGCATCTATGGGGTAATGTTTTTTTAGAGAATGTAATGCTGCATCTGCATCAGATACTATTTCTTTATCATTTTCCGGAACCAGAGTACCTACATAATCGAAGAAAAAGAACTGATTTGCAGAAGAATTGTTCTTAAACTTATATTCGGATTTTCCGCTACTGCAGCCAAAACGTTGAATGTATTGTCGTTTTCCTGATGGTTTTGGCGGACATTTTGAACGTTAGTGCACTTGCAGTTATTTAACTAATTTGTAAACAAGTATAAATTTAATAAACGTCAAAGGCAAATAATGAAACATGATCGCTGTTTTTTTAGGTAATTCAAGGCATATCTGATTTATTGTAAAATGAACCTTTTTATTTTGTTGATTTCTACGGTTTTGAAAAACTGAAAAATATTATTAATAGTATGAATAGATGCAGTATTTTTTTCTCTAAAAAAAACGTATTTAGACTTTTGCTCTAAAATAATTAGGGGAGCTAGTAATTGACTATAAAGAAATTACCATTAAAATCCGTATGCTGCGTCGCGCTAGGCACCACCTGGTATAATTGTGGCGCAAAAAGAACTAAATTATGTTGCTTGTAAATAAGACTTATCGCGGAGTAGCAGCAAGTTAAGAAATTGTTCCTTTGGGCTAATTTTGAAATGAAAGTTGAAGTTCCATTCATGGTCCTTTTTGCAATAACAGTCCTCCTTGTGTCAGGGGATTTTTACGACCTAATTACTACTTCTCTGAAAATTTGGAGCCGGTTTCTCCAAGGGCGAGTCAAATTTTTTACTTGCAAAAATCTGTGGAACTGCGGCGTGATCTTTATTGGTAAAAATAATCACTACAGATGTTTGTTATGCATAGAAAACTGCAAGGCGTTGGCAGTCCAAGATTGTGTAGTGGAAAGTACACCAAGTGACAAAATTAAAGTAGTACCGTATTAATAGGTCCGCTACCTTGGCTTAATTCCAACTGTACAAATTTGGCGTTCGGGTTATTGTTATCGACTTCCATTTGCACAATTTCTATGTCGATACAAGATGTTATGCGTCCACACGTGGCCTCGCTGGCGAGGTTCATCGGTGGAGGGTGTATCCCTTTTGATACGTTCATTGCCAATACCTAGCGCCGAATTCGTCTTCGGAAGAACCAAACTTTTCGTCCGAAGTCCGAGGACCGTTTTCGAGTTGGAGGACTTTCGACGGATGCGTCTGCACGATCTGGCGCTGTTAATTCAAAAACATTGGAAAGGTTATAGACAGCACAATAAATATAAAAAGATGAAACATAGTCAGATAATTATTTCTTCGGCCTGGCGCAGTTGGCGGGTAAGTTCCTTGTTTTTTGTTATGCAGTCATCGAGGTGCTCTGTTTAAAAATCTTTGATGTAATACTCATTTGTAAAACGGGTTAGGAAAATGTTATCGTTTGAAATCAAGAAGTTGTAGAATGAGAACGATTTGAATTAATCTAATTATAGAAAAATTCAGTCTAGGTATTCATCGTTATTATGATTTAAAAAATTCGTTAAGCCGTTTGTAAGCAAGAGGCGAAGAGTGCACTTTTAAATTGGTTTTTTCGTTTTAATAGCACTAACGAGAATACAAACTTAAAATAATTTTTAATTTCTGATCGAATGACACCAATACCAAGTCTATAAGTGGTGTAGTTCTTGAGCCTTTGGGACTCAGACAGACATTAACAGCGCAAAAGTGCACTTTTTATTTTTGAAAAAACAAAAGTCGCAAATAATTAAAAATCACTCATAATAGTATATTAAGATACAAGTGTATAATCAAGTCTTTAAAGCACGCGCAACGAGTTTAAGGGCACGACGCAAAGCGGAGTGCCTTTAACGTTGCAAGTGCTTTAAAGACTAATTATACACGTGTATCTTATAGTATTTTTTATTATACCTGCAGTATAATTTAAAAATAGGAAATACAATGAAGTCATATTGACGTTATACTCGAATACATGTCTAATTAAGTGGGCTGGGTGTTCGTAATTTCACGATTGCCATGGAAATGTCACTTGACGTTTGCTTATAAAAATCATCGTCTTTGTGAATTAAACGATTTCCGTTGAAAAAGATAATTCACCGCCCATTAAATCGATTGTTGTAAAATCTAAACAAACATTGGTAGGTGTAAAATCCAACTCCAGTAAAGCCTATTATAAAGAATATGAAAAGTTGTTTCCATGGATGAATAGGAAGTTACTTACAAATACAGTCTTAAATGCATCCATAATGCTGGCATATATGAAGGAAATGTCAAAGGTATTTAAATCTTCTATATTTTGGTGCATTCATTCAAAACTTTAAAGCAATGCTGCGATTAAAAAGTGGAACAGATTTGGAAGCATGCCCTAAATTACGCGCGTTTGTGAAAGCTTCAACCAAAGGATAGATACAAAAGCCAAAGAAATGTTCTGCATTTACAGAAAGCGACCTAAGAGGAGTTTTTATTTCATCCAGATGACAGTTTCAAAAGTCATACTTGAAGTATCGTTACTTAGCAACTTTAAAGCACGTGTGTTTTAAAGGGCCTTTTTCGCACGCATTTGAGTGTTTAAAACGGAGATTGTGATGCAGGTATAATAAAAAATTTTTTTCATTGCATTTCTTCAAGTGAAGGCAGCTTACATTAAATAACCTTATTGGCTGGGCACTCTGTAAAGTCCCTTTTTAAATATTGATATGTATGTAAGAAAATATATTTTATAGGAATGTAGACGTGGAATTCCATTTGATGGAAGGCGTCATTTATGGTGTCTGTATCGTGTGGTATGTTTACTTTTTTACAGCATTGTACTGGCTAGAGCTAATTACATTTGATGCAGTGATTTTACTTACTACCTGACTCTTTTCTGCTTTTCAGGCAAAAGAAGAATTTCGAATTTTGAAACATAGGAAAGAAACTGAATGGGCTGCTAGTGTTATTCAGAGGCATTATATCCAATGGAAGGTAAATAGATTAAAAAAAAAACTTTCTTAAATAGATTAGGTGTTGTTTTGCATCCAACTATGAAGGTCTTCTGTTTTGAAATAAATCACAATAGTCAAAATATTTTTTAGTTTTTCACATAATCTCCCCAAAGTTCAAACCACTTCAATCAGCCTCTTTTCACTTCCAGAAAATTTTCCTTAAACTCCTCGGAATAGGTGTTCACTCTCTCTTTCACCGCGTTGTTCCGAGGAAATTTTTTTCTAGTCTGATAAACTTTTTAGTTTTGAGAACAGGCGGAAGCCCAACTGAGCTAAATCAGAAATCAAAATTTGATTTTTGATGGTATATGGTATTAAATGATTTTTTTAATGAAATTGCAGCCATTGTTTAATTCATGTGAGATTTATGTTGCAGCGAAGACATTTTCTTATGAAGCTCGCCACCATGTTACCAGAGGACGTTATCTCACCCTTATGTATGGAGTGGCCTAAATGTCATCCAAAATTATCTGAGACCAATGCGCTTCTTCGAATGATACACCATCGGTGGCGATGTTATAAGTACCGTCTTAAATTTGACCAAACCGCTAGAAATCGTATGCGTGAAAAAGTTACGGCTAGTTTTATTTTTAGAGATAGAAAAACTTCATATCCAAGAAGGTATGTTTAAACAAAATCAGTTTTATCAAAATGTGTCCATCGCTTGTTTTAGTGTATCACATCCTTTTCTGGGTGATTATGTTAGATTACGCCAAAATGTACAGTGGAAAAAATTATGTTTGGAGACAAATGATCAATACGTAGTATTTGCAGATATAGTTAATAAAATCGCTCGATCTAGTGGAAAGGTAAGATTATATCATTTTTTGGAGCAAATGATGATCGTTTAAAAGCATCTATCATAACACAAAAGAAAATGTGTTATCTGTTTTATTTAATCTATTTTTGTTCTATTGAAATAAATACGTCTCCGATTAATACATTTTATTTTTTTAAGAACCAGTATTCCAAACATGATTTGAATCAGTACACACACACACAGTGTCTGATTGAATCAGTACACAAAAGTAAAACTTTCATCTTAAATAAACTCCCTAAAGATCATCTAAAAAAGCGGCAGAGCACCTCGTTGTGACCATACAGGGTCATTGGATTTGACCCATTTTCAATAGGCTTATTACATGTGGCATAGGTCAACTGTGCAAAGTTTGAACCAAATCGGTCCAAGCGTTTGACAGTTATCATGTTGTTGGACGGACAGACGGACACCATCGTCTCCCCTATAAAGCTTGCATCGCTTTGCTCTGGCGCTTAATAATATGTAATACTATGCGATCAAAAAAGAGTTGCTGTCAAGTCACCTTTGGAATTTTTGTTTACATAGGATATTGTATTTAACTTCCAAAGGCGAGTCAAGCGCCCGTTATATAACTACATGATTTGATACACAACACTCTGTATTTATATGTATAGAAGGAACAAAATATTTTTTTCATTATGGAATTAGGTTATTTTGCAAGTATGTGAGACTCCTTATTTTTACCTTGCCTATTATTAAAAATTATGTTCCAGAGTGATATGTAAGGCGCTGGTCTCTCTGAACACACACCGCCCGCAACTAACCAGGGGCTCGCACACGCCGCAGGCGACCGTCAAATTGTTTATAGGGAAACCAATGTATGTGGGCTCTCTGAACCGACGCGGGCAACGTTTATTCGAATCGCCGAAGGTCACCCGCCGTCCGCGTCAATCAGTATCATTTTGGACCATAGTCGCGGGTAGACGTCAACGGTCGCAAGTCAGAAAATGAGCTTAATAAAGAAATCGTCGAAATCTTGATTGATTGTGTCTGTGGAAATACTGTCTTATACGATGTTTCGCGTACGGACTACAAAGACAATGTGGCAAAAGGCACGTTTGGGAAATCAAACTATTAGAAGGCACCTTCTTTATCTCTATTTTTCAACATCTCATCTACTTTTTGTCTCTTTGATTGTCTTCTTCCAATAGTAAAAGCCGCAGTAAATTAAAACCGCCACCGGCCGCGGGTCATGACCGTCGCGTTTAACTGGTTAGAGAGACCAGCGCCTTACGGATTTCATTTTTATTTGAAGCTGTTTTTGATTAAAACCTCACACAGAGAACACTTAGTTGCGCTAAATTTCCATGTGAAGTTCCCTACAAATGCATATTTTATTTTCAGTTTGTTCCTATTTTACTGGTTGTATCTACGCATTCCATGTTAATATTGGATCAACGTACCTTGCAAATAAAATATCGTGTGCCTGCAGCAGAGATATATCGGATATCTCTTTCTCCTCTCCTTGACGATGTTGCAGTGGTCCATATTAAGGCTGTAAGTTTATTTCATTTAACCGAATTAGACAATCCACTGCTTTTTTGTCGGTTTTAAGTAGGTAGTTAAATGGATGTAGTTAGTGAGAGCTAGTTTTGTCCCCAGCCTTCCTTTGGAAACCCAGAAACTTCTAGTAATACTTCAGATGCTACCGGCTGCTTATTTCAGAGTGATTTAAGTAAGAAAAAAGGAGATTTTGTTTTTCAAACTTGTCATCTAATAGAAGTTGTTACAAAATTATTCTTAGTTGTTCAAAATGCGACGGGGAAGTCTCCCGAAGTTAACATTGCGACAGAGTAAGTACATTTCTAATACCAAAAATAGTGCAAGTAATAGGTATTGCATTTTAGATTTGAAGCGAATTTTGGATCACAGACAGTAATGTTTACCTTTAAGTGCATGGGTATACCAGAAGTACAAGGTGGACAAATGCGTGTTGTTCGAAAAGGTAATAAAATGGAAGTGCTAGTGTGACGTCATGCAAAACATATCTGTAAGACCAGCGTTCTAATCACTGCCATTAGAATTTTTGAATTATTCCAAAACGACACAAATTTTGTTAGTTGTATAATTCGTGTCTTCTATCTAATTGATTAGAGCAATTTCTTAATTTTATTGGGGTGTTGGCACATTGTTTATTTTTTTGTTATTTTATTCACTTCCATAATGTTATGAATGTTTATATAGACAGTGTATAAATGTTATTTGTTAGATCTCGACACTTCATGTTAGAATTGAATTAGTCGATTTTGTTACATTTGTTTAACGGTGAGGCGCTATATTAATAAATTGTAAAGCAATAATTTCACATTAAAATAGTTACGTGCTCCTTCTCAAAAATTAATTACATTTCTTGCTAATAATTGATATGTAATTTTGGCGCTGCAACTGTGATTTAATACCAAAACAACGACCGAATAAAACTGATTGCATCCGGTTACACAGTTTAAGAATAACCGTGGTTTAAAGCTATGGTCAGATTTTCAAACACAATTTCAGCGCCATCTACAAGTTTTCTAAAATCTTAAAGTTTGGAAAGAATTAGTCTAAGCATTGAATTTATAACATAAATTCAATGGTCTAAGTATCATAATTATTACACACTCTGTTGCTTTCCTAAATACTTTTAAGGTCAACTATATATTATAAACATATTTTTAACTTGAGAACTATTTTACTTCTATTACAATTGTTATTTGTTAGTACGATATTATTAATATTCAATTTCCTAAAGTAAACGTAAACTTTTGAAGCACTAATATAGGTAAGACTCAATTGAAAAATTAACTGAGAAGTCTAGTATTATATTCAATTTTGATACAATTAGGTAATTGTTATTCAAAAACTGAGCGATATCCATTAATTCGAAATTATAAATTTATTCGAGTAAGTACCAAAAAAATTAGTTGTTACCTGCCATAGATATTTACTTTGTATCTTCAGTTATAATAAATGAGTTATATTTTTTAATACAAGATAATTGACTTTTTAATACAGTCAGTGAGGCACGTCTTTGGTGCCATGTTTCCCTGTTAATTTGGTGGGATTTTGGACATTGTTTAATACCTACCTACTACTAAACTTCTTTTATTCACAATCATATATGTAAAATGTCAATTGCCAACTGTTTTGAAGTTTGGAAGTGAGCAATTGTTTGACATCTTGCGAACCTCTTCAAGGTCGGTAAAGTACTTCCCAACTTGCACACCATGTCGACTAGATTTCAATGTTACGCTGACACTGGTGCAATTTGTTTTACTACCTATTTAAGACAGATTGTGAATAAAATAGTAAGTATACAAACCTCGACGGCTGGGGTTCATAACCAACGCCTTGCGATATCTCACCTACCGCTGGTGATGTACCTTAAGCCCTCGGCGTAGGTAATGAACCACTTCCCAGCTCTATGTAATCTACTATTAAAATACAGAACCAGTTCGGTCTTAAATTTAATCAGTTCTTCCTTGAATAACAATACTGATAACATAATTGGAAAATTCGAAACCGCGAGTTAAGTAAACGGACGGACAGAAAGTCCAAAATCATGAACTCCCTTTTAGGAATTCGAACAAAATCTGTTTGCTTCAAATTAACAAAAAAAAAGTTGCGAGGTCCCTGGGGAAAATCTTATTTTTAATATTTGGCCTGGTAAAACTGTTGGCCACCCATGCATGATTAAATGCTTTCATAGATAAAGAGGTTGGCATTGCGCATGTGCAAAACCAAATTTTGCAACCTATCCCCATTGAGCGCCACACAAGTTTGGGAAGTTTGCGAAAAACTCGATACTCTATAGGGATCATTGGTCCAATTGAGCAGATATTATGCGAAGAATCGTCACAACACACGCGTGATTTTTACGTCAAGACAACCAAGATTGATGCAGAGGAACGATATAAAGTTCATCTTCCGGGGTTGTCTGATCATCAACCTTTACTGAATAATTACAGTTTAGCTAAGAAGCGATTGGAAAACTGTAATCGTAAAATGGATGCCACGGAAAAACTTTGAGAAAAATCCAAACTCTGGCTATTTAGCTAAGGCCACGGTGGTAAAGGCTCCTCTGTAGTCAATTTGTATTTCAATGTTATTGCAATTGGTTAGACCACAAACAATACACATCTCCAGACGATGTACCTACTCCTTGAGTGAGACCAACGATGTATCTCTATCCTTTCCAGCTTTGCATATTCTCTTCATTTATTGTTAAACACAATAGACCATGTACAATGGTCAAGGACTAATATTATGTAAACAAGTTTAGCGAAAAGCTGTACAATATTTGAATGGAGATGCACAAATGCCTATTTCTTTTACTATTGAGTCAATTACTTATTCAATGCATTTACTGCATTTTTCTATAATGACACCTTCTGTAAATTACCTGGTTCTTAGGTCATTAGTGGACTAGATTAGCATTGTTTGTTAACATTTTTAATTACCCCTTTATTTCCTGTGAGTTATTCTAATCAATTTTACTGATTTATAGATTTTTATAGTTATTAGATAGACATGTGCATGAATGAATTCACTTAGGACTTAGGTATGGTAGAACCTACTAGACCGGCACTTCGAGCACCTAAAATAAATCTCTTTATTGTCTCATACAATAAGGGTGAACAACAAAAAATGTATTTTTTTTAATAAAAATGATAGCTAACATTTAAAATTCTGTTACAATGATTAAAAGTATAACATATACCGATTTTTAAATAAATTCTTATCTTTTCAAAAAATAATACTTGTACATTTAGCGTTATACTTATTTATATTTATGCACAACCCATGTAGAATTTTTCCGAACATCTTATGTGCAGCAAGATGACTTCACTTTTTTGTCCTAAATTGAGAATTCCGGTGTAAAATTTGTTGATTCCGCGGTTGATCCTCTATTTTCTGAAAGGCAAGATCCGAGATGATATCAGTTCATATTCGCTAAGTTGATGTGAAGTTTGTGGGATTCCCTCATATTCTCAAACGGAAAAAATAAATAGTTGAAATTTTTTTTAAGTGGGAGAATTTTTTTACCCACCACTAATTACCGGGAAAACCCAAAATTTCACCCATGTTTTGATACAAATATTCATTTCCGTGATGTCTCACTACCTTCGCTTGACTTGACATGAGCAAAACAATGACACTTTTTTTAATAAATTTGCCAGTGTCGCCTATTAGTTATCGTATCCCGCTTAGAAATTTAGCTAAAAAGGGGAATTGGAACATTTTTGTAACAGTTAAAATGAACAAGTGCAATCGAATTTCTTTGAAATGGTAGGCTCAGAATGTGAAAACTATTGGGCGCAACTTTCTCGCCAATTTATTTGTAAAAATCGAAATTTGTCGTTCCTTTATTTTTTGATAAGCGGATATTCCTGATATCTGATCATATTGAAAAAATAAGTAGCACTTGCCTCTCGAAGTCTCTACTCAGTAATAGTGTTTACGAATGGCGATATTGTTCTTCCCGCTTGTGTGGTGGTCAATTGGTCATGCGTTAGTCCAAAAAATCAAAACGATGCCACATTTCTACACAAGAACAAATTTTCGGCAAAAATGCTTCTAATTACTGGTACAGTCGTATTCCGCCTAAGGGGTTTAGCTAAAAATTGGGCTACTGTTTGATACCTTCCTAAACAAATTTCTTGAAGCATCCTGATAGAATGAAAAAGGTTTTAGAAATCAAACATTATTTTCAATGTACCTACAATAAATATGCATTTAATACACTTTTCGTCTTGGGAATATGTGACATTATGATTCACAAATCAACAGCATTCATGAACATTAGCTAATTATATAGTAATTTATCTAATCCATATCATTAGGAACGGCGTAACAATGTGCAGGATAATGCCAGGTAGTTTCTTTTGTTTTCCCTTTCAAGTAATGAGTTGTCGCCTCAGGAGTTATAGTGCAATATGAGTTGCCTACCCTTACGTTAGCGTTTTGATTTTTTTCTAAAGATCGCGATACATATTTTTTTAAATATATGCCTAATCATAATAGATGGAAATAATATCTTTAAGTACCGCCGTAGGAAATACTGTCAGATTTCCAAATTGGTGCTGTAGGTTTTTCTACTCCCATTACAACGGCTGTTATTTACGAAAAACGATTTTTCTATTCATCGATCTTCCTAAAAAACTAAGACCGATATTTCAACTTTTTTTAAGTACCGCCGTTCTTTTCATCATTGCAAAGAATATCCACTATCGAGACTGCAAGTACAAAAGCAGCATTTCATAAGAAAGTTTAGCTATTTTTCCAATATGGCGGATTGACTACAGAGGAGCCTTAAGGCTAACTAACGAGTCATATAATCACAAGCCATCAAGCCGATAGGGACATTATTTACCGCATCGTCTCGTTGTCAAGGAGAGTCTTAAACATTTTATGTATGTGTCTTAAAAACCACTAAGATTCGTCCGGTTTTTGACGCTTTTCTGCAAGAGACGGCAAGAATCCATTGTTTTTTTAGTTTTCGGTAAACGAAAATGTAAAGAAAATGCAAAAAAGACGATTTTTCGGTAAAAGAAAATTAGCAAAAGTATAGTGTGACCAAACTCCTATAACGCAACGGCGCTTTAGTTAAGGTAGGTATATGAAAACGAATTCGTCAAAGTCTTTTTATTGTACAAAATAAGCCAAACCATCATAAGTCAACGTCGTCACTCCTCCTGAATTGTTTTATTAGTATCCATGCGGTCGTGATAACTTTTTTGCAACACGGTAAACAACGCCATTTGCTTTTGATATTCATTTTTCAATTCCGTATTCAAATTAGCCATCTTCTCCAGTTTCGCATTTACTAAAGAATGCCGATCTCTTTCGGCTATAAACTTCAACTCCATACAGTCCAACTTATCTTGTAGCTGTTTCACCTCCAGATTCCTGATTCCTAGCATCTCTTTACTAATTGAGACAATTTCTTTTAGTGAAGTGACTTGCTGCGTTAACGCCTCGATTTGCAGTTCTTGATTTTTACACATTTTGGTTTTTTCAAATATAACACTGCTGGCGCAGGTTGCTGCATCTGATGAATTTTGATCGGCGCCCTTCTTCCCTTTAAGGGATTTTTTAGTAAATTCTTTTTGAAATTTCCCCAGTTGGCTTTTTAGATTATCGCACTCTTGAGTACGGGCCTATATCATATAGTGGCGTGTTATTATTGACATAAATTCTAATTTTGTAAATAATACGTACTTGTAGTTTTTTCTGTAAGGTTGTTGATTTCAATTTTTCTTTATCAAAGGCAGACTGCAATTCGGCAAGTTTATTCTGCATTTGCTTTTCTTCTTTACTTGAAATTTCCTCTTCACCTGCATTTTTATGCGTTCGGTTCTAATAACATTTTCCTAATTTGGATGTTTGCTCGTTGGATACATACCCACTTTGTTACCCTTGCTGGGTGGACATTCAGAAGTATGATTTTCTGGTGGCTTATTATGATCTGTTGACATTATTTATAGAGAGAGAGACCAGCAACGCTTTGTATGGAAATGGAAATGAAAATTGTTAACTGAACCGAGTATTTTTAGAAAGGACAGTGCGGTTATTTTTAGGCAACTATTTACATTCAAATTTCCCGCCAATTTCGAAAAAATTCTTCGTGCGTTTGAAATATCCGTAATCGTCCCAATTTAAATTTGCATATTTTTAAGTACTTAAACATATTATACGAAATAATTTCAATCCACCTTATCAGTACTTAATTTGGTTAAATTTTGATCACACTTTCAGATTTGACAGATACAAACACGTTAGGTTCTGTTTGAAGAATTTTCAAATCTGTAACTTTCGCAGTACAGAACATTTTTGAGCCGTATGCGTCTATAAATTGATTAAAATTTAAAGAATTATTTGTTAGCAGGTAATTAAAATTGTGAAATTCCATAAATTTTGAGGTTATGTAATGGTAGGTTTTCATCGAAAGCACTATGGAAGAATACAGTAGAGAACCGTGTCCCTGGAGAATTGTTGATGATTGTGGTGGAGCGTTTACTATGGGCCTTATTGGAGGTGGTGTATTTCAAAGTATTAAAGGATTTCGGAACGCACCTTCCGGCATTAGTCGTAGATTTGTAAGTATCTTATGTGAGTGTCTGGATAGCTATGCATTACAAGTTGAATAATTTCAAACCACCCTTTGTAATGTCCATACTGTAGAGAATACCATCATAATTGCTTAGCTAGTGCGACCCTGGATATGTTAAATCGCTTAGTACCGCACCATACTGTGGTTTTACTCAAGTTTGTTAGCCGTTTCATTAGTAGAATCTAATCAAGTGAACTAAGGGATGACATTCCATGGAACTGTAACCGATTGTAACATTGAATCACCCCTGCATGTTAATATAAATCGGGTTCTCTGTTAATGTCTTGTTTGTGTTTCACATGATGCAAGGGTGGCTTAAATCACCCAGAAAGCTTTACTATTACAAGGGTGTGATCGAGGGGGGTATCCACTGTGACATGCAATGTAGATAGGCACTATCCGGTAATACTTGTATTCATTATCAGGATTTCAAGATAATCAGAAGATTTTTCATCCTATACAAAACTTTAAATGTTCATATTGTATGCATAACTATCTGTTAATTTTCTGCAATATGATATATTAATTGATTATTATATCACCTTTAGATTGGAAGTTTAACAGCAATCAAACAAAGATCTCCTATCATAGCTGGTAATTTTGCAGTTTGGGGTGGCATGTTTTCGACAATTGACTGCGCTCTGATTCACATACGAAAGAAAGAGGATCCATGGAATTCTATCATTAGTGGTGCAGCTACAGGAGGAATTTTAGCGGCGAGAAACGGCTTACCGGCAATGGCAGGAAGTGCTCTCATTGGTGGAATGCTGTTAGCCCTAATTGAAGGCGTTGGTATTATGTTTACGCGTTTATCTGCAGAACAGTTTCAACCACAATTGCCACCATTAGAAGATCCCACACAGTTGGGACCGTTGCAGACCAATTCTTTTCAGTAGTGTACTTATAAGAGATAGTAAAATAAATTGTGATCTTTTTAACATTTCGTTACCTTGTAAGTTTTTATTTAGTAATTGTACTGCGAAAGTAAAGTAGGTAGTATATGCAACGTGTGTATATAACAAATAAAGAAATTGTTATAAGTATTTTTTTGCAATTTTGTGTTTGAATTTATTCTTAAATTCTATGAAAATTGTCAAAAAGATATCAATTAATATTTGATATTATTTTTATCTATCCTTTTCTGATAGGGACTGGATATCACAATCAATTTTACAGCAGCTCATGCAAGCAAATATTTTGTCTTGGAAAATCTCATTTGCTACTTGTAGTTCAGTAGTTGCAGTATTTTTATTAGCATCAATAATTATTTTAGTTCCGACTTCCGAAGAATTCTATTGGTGTATTGATTTGTTGTAGGTGTGTTACTTTTTGAAATAGGTGAACATTTATTTTGAATAACAAATGACAGACAGTGGCTTAATATATAGAAATGAAAAGGAAGAGCTTTATAACAAACGTTATGGAATTTAACAGGCCGAGCCTGATATGTAGATAAAAAATATTTCTATAAGAAAGTAGACATTGCGCATGCGCACATTAATTAAAGATTTTTCTTACTTGAGGTGCCAGAGCTATTAGTTACCTAATGCAAAAACTAACTATCTTGAAAACTGTAGGAGTAGTTGAGGCAGGGGACGGACGGGCGGAGAAAGTGACCATAATAGCACCTTCCAACACAAGTTGGAAAATGCGCTAAACATACAACCGAAACAATGCAGAATTAAACAGGATTTCATTTTATATCAAATGGATTCCGTTGGACTCTTTCTGTTCAAGTGTGTCCAATTTTGGAGAGACACATGTTTGCTTATTAAGTAAGCGTCCGTGCTTTTCTGCAGACACATACACAGAGTAATTAATAGTTTTTATTTTAAGTAAATATAAAGTACAAATTAAATAACTATGTAACACAAAAATTAAGCTTGATATTTAACAAATAGTCATTATAGTGAACAAACATAAAACATTCACACAGGTATAATTACTTAAAATTGTATACCGTGGTCATCCAATGCATGCAAATATATCTGATATAATCTACCCCTCCACTTGCACTTTGTAATGAAAGATTTTAATGGGCAACCAACTTCTGCATATTTACAAGTTTTTTCATGAAGAAGTACCTTGCTTAACGAAGAGGAGAACATACAACCTTCATCTGAATATAAACATCTATGGCAAATTTTTTTCGATATATATTCTAGCTTATAATTTCTATTGTCAATTTTGGACCTGCAAAATGGACAATGATTTAACTTTGGTTTACAATTACCACAAAAGCTATGACCTATAATACACTGAAAAATGGTTTCATTCATATAATCGTAGCAAACCAGGCATATGATGTCACGTAAAAAACCTTCATGACTACTACCGTAAAACAGAGGTTTCCTTGTGAATATCTCTATAGTGGTCCCGAATATTGTTTTACCCTCGATTTTACTTTTAAGTTGTAGTTTTGCTCTAAGAACTGGTATGCTGATTTTAATAGCAGTATTTGGGTCAACTTTCCAATTAATAGCCGGTTCGATTTGATTTTTTTCGCAGTACTCTTCACTATTCTGAAACTTCAATTTCAACTTAAAGTAAGATCGTTGGATGTCGTCAGAAATTCCAAATGATTTCACCGCACACCACAGCATGTCTAAGTCAGTAGGGTTGTATTCCCAAATAAGTGCAAACACTTCTCCCTTATGGAAAAAAAATTCTGTTGTTTTACCAAGCTCTAAGAGACATCTTGTTCTGTTTCCTACTATTGCGCTTGAATGAACACTAATGACATGGAGACCCATGTTCTTTGCTGTGCCGGTCCAACGTTTGTCACTGTCCAAACAAATCGGACATTGAAACTGTTGAAATGGGCATCTGCTTTCGTGTTTTGAAACGTTGTGTACTTGAAGTTGTACTGGACAACCTATGCTACTGTACGTACAAGGAAATGTTAAAAGTTTCCCAATGTTTTCTAGTATAGAACAATTGGCAATCACTTGTTCCTTGCATTGCTTCAGTTCCGAACAAGGTCCGCAGATAATTGTTCCCTCGGCACAAATAGATATCGGAGGCTGTAATATCTCTTCACAGTTTTCACACTTAAAGCATTGTATCATTTCTTGTGTTAAATTTTCAAAATTTGCCATCCCCATTTGGACCTGCAAAAAAAAGTTTAGGAATATATTGCTTTCTTTGCATTTTTTCTTAAGAAATGTTCTATTAAAACATGTAGTCCAGGACACAGAGACTGAAAATGGACCATTTCCTGCAAAACGAGAAGTTGTTCCAATTTTTTCTGCATGTCATGAAAGACTATCTGGTGGTTAAGAATCCAAGTTTTCGACCTCCCACCCATTGTGCTTCCCCCGTACCACCCTTAAAACCAAAGAAATTTGGTTGGTTTTTTAGTTTTTCAATCATATCTTTTTATAAGTTCATTTTACAAAAAAATATTGTTATCAGAAATTGTAGACTATAAAATTCTACACAACTTTGATATACACTACTTTTTTGTGAAATGTTTATTAAAAACGATATAGAGCTTCAGAGTTGCTTATATTTTTAAGAATTCTAAAATTTGTATGTAGATGTTTTAACCAAATTTTATACTTTATCTCTATAATTAAGAGTTTTATGAGAAAATATCTTCAACTTATCGTGGCATAAATACCCTTACGCTGCACCCTTACCAAAGGGGATGCATAATAATTCAACTTTCAACCCTTGCTAGTGGGGATATTTGAATCACTGTGAGATTGTAGGGCTTTCTAATATACGTTTGAAACAAAAAATTATTTTCACTTCAGTTCAGCTTCATCCTTCATCCCCCCCCCCTCCCCCCAACCACGGTAGGAATAGATATTTAAGAGGAATAGAAAATATTATGTAATAAGCGTTGTATTCTCTGACTAACTTCACAATCGCCACAAGAGCGTTTAAATATCTATTCTTTCCGCGCGGGGGGGAGAGGGGGAGGGGGGTTAAACTGAACTGAAGTGAGACAATTTTTTCATTTCAAAAGTATATTAGAAAGGGCTATAATCTCACAGTAATTCAAATATCCTCACTAGCAAGGGTTGCAAGTTTCATTATTATGCATCCCCTTTGGTAAGGGTGCAGGGTAGAGGGATTTATACCACGATTAATTCAAGATATTTTCTCATAAAACTCTTAATTATAGTGATAAAGTATGAAATTTGGTTAAAACATCTACATAGAAATTTCAGAATTCTTAAAAATATAACCAACTCTCAAGCTCTATATCTTTTTTAATAAACATTTCACAAAAAAGTAGTGTATATCAAAGTTGTGTAGAATTTTATGGTCTACAATTTCTGATAACAATATTTTTTTCTAAAGTGAACTATTAAAAAGATATGATTGAAAAACTAAGAAACCAACCAAATTTCAGGGGTTTTGGGGGTGGTACGGGGGAAGCACAAGGGGTGGGAGGTCGAAAACTTAGATTCTTAACCACCAGATGACTGTCTATGACATGCAAAAGAAATTGGAACTACTTCTCGTTTTGCATACTAAAACCCTCTATTCCCTGGACTAATGTAGCTTGTGTAGAGTATGGTCTTAGAATATCAACAGGCAAATTAAATTATTAAGATTAATTTTGTAAGGAATTTACAGCGTTAAGGGATCAAAAAGTTCTACTTTTATTTTTATTGTCTTTAGTTCAACTTAAAATGTGATGAACAAATGAACAATGAACAAAAAAAAACTAAATGTTGACATTGTGGGATTTATGGCAAATTGACCAAGAACTTCAACCTGAGCTGCTTCATTAAGCAATCTTGGTTGCTTTCTTTTTTTATTGATAACAGGTCCCGTTTCTTCGAATTTAGCGACCAAATCTTGAACATAGGCATGGCTTAATTTTTATTTTTTTTTGTTAATTTTTAAATTTTTGTTAAATTGTCTTAATTAATATTGACTTTATCAGTAGCTTTCCAACGATGTGTCACAAGTATGGGGTTGCCATTTAGGATTTTGGAAGAGGGGGGGCTGGGGGTTAAGGGGGTGCGGGAGGTTGTCACTCATAATGTCACGGTTTTGCGCGATTTTCAATATCTTCTTTAGTTTGGAAAATATGGCCGACTGCAAGTTTTAAAATTGACACCCCGTATAACAGTTTGAACATGACTCAGGTTATCTCAACCTAGCGGTAGGCACTTTTATATTATTCTTGAACGAAATGATTTATTACAACAATTTGCATACGAAGACCCATAGGTACACTTAGAGCAATAAGTAATTTTTTAGTGATATCACAGGCACCTTTGGAATACATACTCACTTAATAAGGTTACTCGAAAATGTTGATCCAAGTGAAGTGCAACTGGAGGGTTTGTCGTGATTTCCAAAAATGGACAGGCTTAAATTTATATTGTGTAGCCTCCAAGTTATCAAGACAAGCGCATTATCTAAAAATAAAATTAAACCAGTAATTATGCAACATATATGGAATACATTACATGTATGTACCTACAATATAAAATATGTATAAAATTAATCACAGTTAAGCCCAGCACTGCGTTGGCAAAACTAATTGTACCACATATTGCAGATATACCATTATCTGCATCACAACAAATAGGTACCATAAAATAATATTGTAAAATGAAACTGTAGAGTGTAGATAACAGTATCTAAAGAGATTTTATTTATTTGTTGCAAATGATATACAATATGTACAGTGTGATGAAATTTTAAAGGGATTAAGGTGTAACTAAGTAGAGTAGTCCTAACTAAAAATAATTTCTTTCCATGGACTGAAGTGTTGCCCAGAACTCAGTAAATGAGATCCTAGCCCGTTGTTCTGCCTTTGGGTGATAAAAGCACGACAGTCCAGGAGAATATGATCTACTGTTACTGGTGCCTGACAGGTGGGACAGAATGAGGGATCTTGACCTAGAATGTGATGGGATGGGAAGCTCGAATGTGGCCCAGGTGGAGGCGATTCAAAGTAACTTCCTCAGATTGGGAGAGTCCGAGTCAAGGCAATCGAATATGTAGTCTAAAGATGATCGGGTGAAGCATCTATAGATTCTCAGAACCGTGGACGTTTCTGCACCCCATGTGTGATGAGCCACAGTCTTCAAGATGGTAAGGCTTTTCTTGCACTCTTTTTTAATCAACCGATTTGTGTTCATGCCATGTGAGTTTGTGATTAGAGTGCTCCAAGGTCGTAGAACTGGAACTGCTGATTAAATATAGAGACGAACTGGCGGCTCAACTGCAGATCTTTTTGCAAAAAAGATTCCCTAGGTTGGACTTACCATAGCAGAGAAGCAGAAGCCTCTTTTCTTATGTAAATGCGTAATTCTTGTTTAAATTTTATCGCTTTGTAATTTTCCAATTTAGAAGTAAGTAAGACACATCCGGTCAAATTTGAGTGTTTTATTTGGTCGTTGAAGTAAGGAGTTTTATTGTTAGGGGAAATTTAATTAACGCACGTGTTCTTTCGATGATAAGAGAATGCAGGTAGTAAGTAAGTAAGTTGTTGCATAGTGAAGCCTTTCTATAAGGTTCACTTCATTTAAAGTTACAAATTACCTATATCCGGAAGAGATGCCAGAAGTGACAAAAATTACGCTTCTACGAATTTGTTAAAGTTAAGAATTTAATCTGTGTTGGAGATAGAGCTACTGCAGATTTTTTTGGGTGATCTTCACAAAATCTGTATTTTTAAAATTACCAAAGGATTCCTTTATATTTCTAACAGAAATAAAAGTTAGGTAACGTTTAAATTAGGAATAAATAAATAAAATCGAATGAGGAGGAATCCATCTCTGTAAAATGAACGTGGGTTCTTTACCGTGGATTACCAGCCCTATTGTGTTTATTTGTATAATAAATATTGTGGAATAGGGGATGACAATATTGTTCCGTCAGCCAAATTATGGTCACTTTTGGTCCTCGGATGGTGTTTAAAGGATCATAATAGGATAACCAGAGACCAACTGAATGTGTCTACTTCGGAAATCCTACGGACGTCCATTCGCAGTCAGCGTATGTTGTTCCAATTTTCAATATTTCTCACCTAAAATTTGGATCCACCATCTTTATACCTCAACCCTTAAGTAGTAACAGCAATGGAATACACAGGTTTGGTCTAATGCAACTAGTGAATGAACGCATATGCCTATATTTCAAAGAACATTATCCTTCTAACTAAATTTAAACATTTGTTATTCCAATATGATAGAGGCAATAAAAACACAAATCTTGGAAATAAAGAAAATAATTAATTTTAATAAGTCAGGTTTTACATAGTAATACAAATAAATACACAAATGGTATACAAATATAATACTATTGTTAATAATTTACAATAAATAATATTGTCAACTTCGTAACGGTATCACGTTTGATTCTTGGTGATGTTTACTTGCCTTAAATTATATATCACATATGTTGGCAACACACTGGATTTATAAAAAGTTAGCTGCAAATAAATTTCTACAACAAATAACCCTCAAAAAAGTAGATGTAACTTTGATCAATTAATCATTAATAAATAAAAAATTATAATAAAAATACTGTATAGTAATTAGACATTGTAAATATTTTTGATTCACATTTTTCACTGATTAATCTCAATTATCAACAATTTGGAAGACTAAAGGATGGCTTCAAAACTATTTCATTCGTTATTGTTTACACACAAAGTATTTTTGTTAAAATAGAAAAACTGCTATCAGTCTAAATTAACTACCTGAAGTTACTAATGCAATGAAATTAACGATTCAAAACGGTATAAATCGAAAATTTTCACAATTTTATGTAAAATATGGAAGTCACATATTATACAGCACAACAAAAAAGAGCTATTTGTAAATTAACATTCTTTTGATGACTATTCTTACAAATTTGCGGGCTACCTTTTATCTTCCATAACGACTTGTTTAAAAGTTTGTACACCTGTCGACATTTGCGATTTAACTTCATGATTTCCTAAAGCTGCAGTTCCATCTTTTGCAATGAACAATTGAAGTCCCGACGCTAGAAGACGACAAATAACATTTTGTTCCCCTTATGTGTTTAGCAATACTCACTTTCTGCAGAATCATCGGGCTGCTCTAGGTTAGTACTTTTTAAGAGTTCGGCTATAAGATGATCAGGATTAACGCGAGTAACTTCGACTCTGCCTGAGACCGTATTTAAATCTGTTTCTTGCGCTTGAGCTTTTTTACGCCTCTCTAAAGCTGCTTTGGCTCTATCCAAAGAACCAGTTTCTGAGAGTACCAAGCTGCTTGAACTGGGATTTCTAAAAGCAGAATAAAGAAAAACAATCAAATTGGAAAGGAACACTTGCGGAGTAAGGTTTATAAACCTAAAACGCCAAGGGGCTTCTAAAAATTATTTAGTCGTTCGAACTATGGGTTATGGGTAAAAGGGTTTTACATTATGGTCTTTACAAAACTGCATTCCTAAGGGATATACACAAATCTATATATCAAATATGATAATAAGGTACTAGATTAAGGTTTTAGAAGCCCCCAAGCCATACTATCTAAACTTATTTACGCAGACAAAATTACAAGACATGAAATAGTGTGAATTAGAACATCTATTGATGACATGCTACAATGCATTTTGAGTGCAGTGTGTGGAACTGAGTGTTTATAAAGTTTGATTTTCAAAGTACAGTAAGCTCAAGTTGCTTTCTGCCCTTGTTTTGGTGGTTTTATTTGTGCTATCCTGTGTTAGACATCTTAAATGGTGACGAATAATTCTAAAAGATAAATTTAAAAGAAATCAAATTGCACATTGCATAATTTTAGGTTGCTTCTTTAAATAAACCACGTTATTCCTAAAGTCAAGTTGAAATCAATAATGTCAAATCAAATTTTATAAACACTCACTCTATACATGTACAAACTTAAACAGAATAACATTTATTTCGTGAACAATTTTGCTTATATTAACCTGTAAGGTAATATGGATAATTACATTAATGAGTTACCTTAAAATTATGTTTAAGCTTTACGAAGTAAATAGAAAATTAATATAAGCATTAGTGAAGGCAAAAGACAATCAAACATCTAGGCATAGCAGTTCTGCAAAACTACAAGCAATCCACAATAAATATGCAATAAGACAGTTAGAAAGAACACTAACGTAGTGACGCTCGGACGACGAATTTGCTGATTTTGTGAGCAATCGAACAACACAGTGGTAGATGTTTCGTCAGGGCTGATGGCCACAGGGGCCAGCTTACCTCCGGAACTGCCTTCTAATAGTTTGCGGTGAGGCAAGCCCCTGAAAATCAATATCCACCTCCAGTCTTATTTACGCACCTAATGAATATATTGCTGTTCAAGATTATACAATACTCCATAAAATAAGAAAAAAAGATAGGTGCTTCAAATTTGAGGTATCTTGAAGGGAAGGATATCCAAATTACCGCTACTTGTGCCAGAAGTGCAAGGTCTTAGCCAAAAGTTTGATTACTTGAGTTTGAGGAGAAGCCTAGGGAAACAATTTTCAAAATGGCATCACTTCTGAAAGTCGCTAACTACCCAACAACTTGTTTTAATTAGATAATGGCGAATTTAGAGGCGCTGAAAATTCTTTTACTGTGTAGAGACTTACTTTCGGTATAATGAAACATTTGGGTTACATATGCTAAAGGGTAAGGGTAAAGGACTTCAAAATTAAGAAAATTCAAATTCAAAACTGATTTTTTTTCAAAATTTGATGACCATTTCATTGTTTTAGCATTTGATAGATCTTCAAGAAGAGTTAATTATTATTATTTATTAATAAGCAAGCCATTTTGAAAATATTGTACATCGATTCAGTGTTCAAGGTAAAAAATAAAGCTTTAAGAACAGATTTGCACAACTTACAAATTATTGATTGGAGTACAAAAAATTGCTTTAAGTTCAAATTAGACAATGCTACCTTCATCTTACATTAGTAGCAATAGGAAAAAACATGAATTCATATAAAAGGGAAACGCAAACAGAGTGAATTGTCTTAAATGCAGCAACTTCAAAGCATAATTTTCTGGTACATTTTTATTATTAAGTTGAAATAGATCTCGGGAGGATCTTCACTGTAACAAGGTTAGGTACCTATATCTTGTTGTGACACAAGGTGTTGCAACCATATTAAACACGTGGAGTGGTACTCTGAAGTTAGATGTCAAATCATGTTTGTTTTATTGAAATATATATTATTACTGGTTTATAATGCTGGTTTTGGTGTAATATACTTCGACGACCACAAGCGTTCAGGTCCTTTCATAAAATAATTTAGTAAAACAATGGTAATACTATCTAGTTTGGAAAGATGAAATGGATAGGATCTACTTAGGAACATTACAATACATCTTTGATAAATCTGACGACAATCATTATTTAAATAATTAAATATTTTGATACAAATGATACTTATAAAAACAGCTTTTTTGATAGCCCAGTTCTACGTTTTAAATGTTTAAGTAAAATTATAGTATCATATTCCTGAACAATTTAATTTAAGCTGGATTGCAGAATGTAAGTATAAAAATGTACAAAATTTTACTCGCAATTCACTTAAAAACAAACATTGACATACACTGTAGCAGTATTGATTGTTTAATTTATGTGAAGATGCCGTCGATAGAAGAGATTAACTTATATTTTTATATACAGGGTGTTCCTAAATATGATGTATCTATGGAAGGAGCTATTTTTTTACTTATTTTATTAATAAAAGTTCATATAAACATAGATCCGCAAAAGTTCAGTTTCATCTTGTCCTATAATTTAATATTCAACTTTTTGAAACCACTTACTTTATATTCTCTACCGGTTGTGTGATGGGTTTCCTTCCATGGTAGATTTTTGGGAAAGCTAAAATGCATCATATCTCCGTTATAAATGACCCAATCAGGTCGAATGTGATACTGTTGAATGCATCTCAAGAAGATTTTCAACATTCCCTTTTCGAGATGTTTGCACTTTTAAACCTGACCCTACCGACAAGTGCGACTGCTCCATAATTTCCGAGATCATTTCTACGTGAAATTTGGAAGAGTATTTAATAGCTTTTATCAGATGGACCTAATATCAAAGTTTTGTAAAAATCGCTTCATAAATAAGAAAAGTTAGTTCAGCGCATGCGCAAATACACTACACTTTTATTAGAAATCTTTGTAGTCGTTCGTTAATAGATCTTAGTAAATAACAAAGTTGTAATGCACTTGATTGCGCAGAAACGAAAACCTATTCCACAGCCCTCTTTCTTTTCCCCCACTCTACGCGTTGAAAGCTATTAATTAAAAAAACGGAGCCTTCTGCGAGACTTCGGATTTAAAATAAACATCACGAACTGTTAAAATTCAAGCTAAAAGAAACTTCCAACTCCTATCAAGGCTGGCAATCTCCCTTCCCAGTCTAATAATGATGCATGTGCAGGAGTTTGAGCGATTTTTTTTTAAAAAGAAGTAAACGACCTCAATACTCGTTACTACCCGGCCAGTCACAGAAGAGAGGATGGAACCCCTCTTGACCTAACTATGTCTGAGCACCCGTGTACCCTCTAAATCAGAAATCCAGAACCCATATAAGGTAGTTTTAACAAGATCCCAAAAAGATAAATTATGTGTTCTAAAGACTTTAATTTAACAGGTGCACTTTCTCTACGACTTCTGAATTTACTTTAATCGTTCTATTAAAAATTTGTGTTTAAAAAATTACATTTACAGTATTTACTTAAAAAAAATTCACAAGAAATTTAGATAAGATGTTGTTCATCCTATATGAACATTTCACTATCTTCTATTATAGATTTGCACAAATTTTATTTTTAATGAGATCTCTGTTGGAGTAAGGTGTAATATTTCTGTAGGAGTATTTGGTAGTTAGATCTGTGTCTAGAAATATCAACATACAAATTGAAATTACATGGTAATAATCTCTAATAATCTTTTATTAGATCTGTATAAACTTATCCAGGAGTACTGATTCATGGATTTGTTTAATTACAACTGAATAAATTGAACTGTCACATTTATGAAATCATTCTTGGAATGTTAAAGCTATTCACATATTAGTAACAACTTGTAAGGATTGGCAAAAGGAATATTGAGGCATACGTACGATACTGTAGCCCAATGCCAGCTCTGAAAATCTGTGAGCGTTCTAATTAATTTTAATTTAAGCAATTAAAGGTGTTTAAAAAAAACTGAAATGTTAAGAGCAATTTAAGCGTAAAGGATGTTATACTTAAATGCTAAAATAAACAAAACCCAAAGCCGAAACGTGATAATCAAAAATGTGTTTTTTAAAACACTTACCTGTTCAAGCGTACAACATTTGAATGTTGCTCTTCCGGTACACCTAATCTTGACTTGCCTAAAGTGGGAGAACCGTTTCGAGTTCCAGGTAAACTACGTTGGTAATAGTTATGACGAGGGCTAGGTAATTTACTCTGATTACTTGTGGTAGTACTATATTTGGATGGGGAGGAAGATGTTGCACCAACTTTTTGATACTGTATTTTCTTACGTATGGGCGAAGGGGTAAGAAATGAAAAGAGAACATTGGATTTGTCAAAGCCTTGAAACAAACCTTTTGAGGAGGATGGAGGGCTTTTGTTGTGGAGAATTTCAAAATCACTTTTGGATCTTAAAACTCCAGCGGAAGGAAGGATGTCTAATTCGGATTCATATAAACTGTAACGGCTACTATACAGTTGTTTCAAATGTTCAATTTGATCGGTCGTATCAAGAGTGATAGTATTTTTATCACATCCGTTTAAATTACAAGTACACGATTTTGGTTTATTTTCGTTAAAATGTAATGGAAAGGTGTCATCTGTTACTGTTACTTCAGGTGTTTTATATTCTTCTGCACTTGAAGAACTTACATTGCTAGATTGTGTTTTAAAGCCTTTTGGTGTGAAATAAGGAGTGGAGTGATTAGCTTGAGCATTCAATGTAGGGGGGACGTTAGTACCTTTAGGTGTGCTAAAAATGTCATTAGACCTATTAGTAGAATATTTTCTGGTAGCTTGAGTAAAGGGTTTGGAAGAAGGGTTGAAAAACCACCTAGTCTTGTGCGGGTTCCTATATATAAACAAAAATTAAATTTGCATGCAACAATAATAATGCATTATCCTGCCTCATAGTTTAGAGCAGCAAAAGTTGAATTTAAAACAAAAAAGTATTTAATGCCAAACTGCTACAATAATAGCATTAAAAAATTGAATTTCGACAAAACATTGAAATAAAAAGGATATGAAATTATAGAATACATGAGTTATAAGATATTTTATAAAATACCTGATATGTCCGGAGTCACCGGAGCTTGATTGTCGGCTATGCGAATGAATGCTGCTATATCCAGAGGCTTTAGACATTTGGCTAGTGTTTGATGAGTTACGTGAATGACCCTGCTCACATATTGGATCTTCTATTTCTGGGGGATTTAAACTACCTTCATTGTTGTCAAGCGCTATTACCACAGGTATGTGATCATTTTGAGTTTGCCCAACTATCAATTCTGTAAAAATGCGTACGTTAAATATTTACGAAACTTTCTTTTGTAGGCAAGTAAATGTAGCGATGCAAAAAGTTTCTGTACTTTTATTTTTGTTGGTTAGCTAATTTCAGTATGCCTGGCTGCAAAATGAATAGCAATTTTGTATGTTGTTATAATACTAACGATACAAGACAGAAAGACCATTAACTTGGTAGTAGTTTTGACACATTACCTGATGTTAGTAGTGCCGGCCTCTTTTTCGGTAAACTGCCAAAACCTGAACTTGCGCTTGCAATTGATCCGGCTAAAGAACCTGAAGAATAATCATCTAAAGGTCTTGAGTCTGTACTGGAATCTTCAGTAGCTACTGGTTTGTGTTTCAATGAAGGTGAAGGTCTACAAACAATTGATGAATAACAGTCTGGGTCGAAAGTATGGTTAATATTTACTTACACTTTAAATAATATATCCCCAGACAGCATGTTCATTTTTATCGAAAATCTTAGCATGCTATTGTCTTGGCGCCGCCGATTATCATACCCCTCCAACAAAGCTTTCCGAGAGGTTTCGCCCGCGCCGGCGAATTCTGCTAAATTAAGGTCTACAAATCCTAATTTTGTAAAAGATCGACCTCCTTTACACTCCTTTCGAACCGATATTCTCAATATGCAAGGTTCAAGTATGCCTGTCGATGCGTTGGCTAACATTTTGCACGAAAACGAGAATCGAGATCCCCACTTAACTGCATGCTCCGCAACTTCAATTCTGAAAAGGAGAAAATATTCAACTCTAGTATTTATGTATGTGTGAATAGCTAGTACCTCGGCTAGTACAGATACCAGTTGCTGGGAAAGTGGTACTACAGAGGATTTCTATTACGGAGACAACTTAGGTGGGATTTTACAAAAGGCAAAATAGTGTCGTGATTAACACTCGCGCGATTTGTTAAAGCGTTTTATCAAGCGTAAACTTCAAAAGTACAAAAGTAGTATTTAATATGGCTCTATATATATGTACTTATACCTATATGTATACCATGTATATGTAAGCGTTAAAATTTCTTTGAAATATCTTAGCACCCTACCTATTTAAAAAAACGCAGGTTTCTACATACAAGACTTTAGTGCTCACAAATAGTCCAGCGCGTTTCGTTTATTTATTTATTTATTATCCCTCTCTTGTTTTGGACCCTCAAAAAAGTGGCGATGGCGATATTATGATTAAATGATATAAAAAAATTCGATATGTCGATGTTGAAATCTACAAATTCAATTCCCAGAAGATGTAAATTGTTCGTGGCTGCGCGTGGTGGGAAATGTTATTTAAATAGACTTCCATTACAATAAACAAGTATCACAATACCTATCGACTTAAATTGTGAAATTTTTGTTATTTGCAAAACTTTCAGCTAACATGCGAAATTAGATGAGTCACGACACGAGTACGCGGGGGTCATTTTCTAACCCGAAGGATCAACTTTGAAAGGAGTATCACCTTTATTTGAAAAGTGGTTTAAAAAAACTGTTCGATAATTTTGGTCCTTAACTCAACACGTATGTACACAACAAATTTCGTCAAATTCTCTACATTTTCGTTGTTCGGCCAAGAATTTTGCAGCAGAATTTTTTTCTCGAATTTTTCAACACTAATTTCAGATTCGTGATTTTCATGTTCAAAAACCCCTAGGTATAAAATTTCGTCGAAATTGGGATTTTTTTGCATCTCCATTTAGGGATGCGCCCTTTCGTGGAAGACATTTTGAAAAAAAATGTTGCAAAATCGGAAAATGCATACCCAAAAACTTATTCAAAGGCGTGCCACCGGTCTTTGTAAGCCTTTATGATTGGCGAGAAAAAAAGTTGAGATGAAACCTTTTCTTAGGGTGGCTCCCAATCGAGGCACGTTGGAGTCGCGGTTTATTTGGAAAAAGTGCTTGTTTTGATCCCCTCTACCACCCAATTTGTTTACATACTTATATATAACACCCTGTTTAACCAAAAAGCATGAATTCACTGATATAATTACTCCTTTCATTGCAGTTTTTTTCCAAATGTTCTACACCTAGTTCTACATCTTCAAACAGCTCTAGTTTGTACCTCATTTTCCTAAAGGAATATTGTCCTATTAGGTCACATTTACCTACCCAAAACTCAAATTAGTTATTTTAAGTGCTCCCGAGTCCCGAGAGGCAAACCACTGTGAAATTCTGGTGTACAACCTTTTGGAATACATGGAATTCTTGTAATTTTAAGTCGTGGTTTATTTTACATTGATTCTTATATAATTACATGGAATTCATTCAATATTTTTGAAGTGAATATTTTAGACCGGGAGGAAGCGTACATAGTAACTAAACCATAAGCGACAAAAAATTCGACAATATAGGCTGAAAGTACGTTGAAAACTAATAATAAAATCACTTGTCTGCCAGTCGTAAGTGGCAGCATTAACTTGGGGCGGCGCTGAATAGGTGACTTCTTTAGGTGATCAACTAAATTACCAAACTATAAGGGTCACGGAAAAGATTTGTATCAAGAAATCACATTTTTTCCATAGTTTTCAAATATGCTATGGCAGACGATTTCAAGTGCAGCGTTGGTAGCGAAAGACGCCATTCAATGCAGGGAAAAACACCCCTGAACTAAACCATGAGGACCGTATAAAAATTATACATAAGAAATTCCTCTTTTTGTCACTACTTTAAAATATATCCTGGCAGACGATATTAAGTGTAGCTTTAATAGTGGCAGACGTCTTAGAAGTTAAAAAATTTAGGTATAGTAAATCCCAGCGAGTGCGAGCGTGTGAGAGATAAGCGCGCGAGATGTCACCAATATTTAAATACTTCACGAAAGTAATTCCTTAAATCTGTTTATCAAAAAGAAAGTAAAAGAAACCCTCAAAAGTTTTTGAGGTAGCGAGGTGAGGCGGCGCAGTTGCTGAAGGTGAAGCTATGCCCTCATGTTGAATCAAATGATGGCAGAAATATTTAAATACTTCACAAAAATAATGTTTCGTGCAATTTTACCTTTGTAAAAAATCCAAAGAAACCTTCAAGTAACTTCAGGTAACGAGGCGAAGCGCCGAAGTCGATGCTATGCTATCTATGTCCTCGTGTTGAGTCATGAATATCTGACAGAAGTAAAATTTCAGTCCTCTTTAAAGCATGAAACTGACACTAGATGTAAAGTCTTCCGAGCATGTTGTATTCTGTTTAGAAGTTTCTGTCTGTTTTTGTCCCCGTTCCAACAGATTGCATACAAAATAGCGGCAATTCTAACCTTTATAAAATAATTATCATTGTTCAAATGAGCGTTTGCGAAAAAAGTAAACTGCTGATATGATTAAACGACTGTTTTCCTGAAATCATAAATTAAAATAAAATCAGACCCCATTGTCCAATTCCGCAACTGACATATTGATATAGTCTGCTCTTTTAGACAGCTTTTTTTTGTCTTCCACATTTAGGCCACACCATATGGAAATATGGAAAATTATCTCCCTTCTATTCTAACGACTTGATGACTAGTAGTATTGTGTAAAAAAATTTAAACATGTGTTACATAAACTCCAATCTTTAAAAAATTATATTTTCGTAAAAAATTGAGTAACGACTATGCTTCAATTACTGTACGCTATAAGTCAGGTTATATTACTTTGATATTAAGAAATCACACGTCTTAGGGGCATTTTATGTAATTTACCGCACACTTTAACATTTTACTTGTTACCTTGAACGACCTTGTTTTTTCATGCTCCGCATTGCTTTTTAAATGAGATTACTCAACAATAATAATATATCGAAAATTAACGAGAATAATTAACACAATTATCACCGAAAAAATTACAATGCTGTAGGTACTTATTTGAATTTCTACTTCCGGGTACTCGTCGCACGTGTTTAACTTTATTAATGTAAAAATTATTGCTAAAAGCAACACAATCCTAAATTTGAATGAATTAGACGTGTACAATCAAGATAAGTGCAGGATATTAATCCTGCAACAAGAGGACGAGGAGGCGGGTTGTTCGAAAGGATACCAGTGCAGGAAATGATATTTGATTCTCATTTTAATGCTTCCGTTGTTAGATAATGGCAAAAAGTAAGCATCCATCATTCGCAAACAATTGTACCTAATGGTTTATTAATGGCCGAGAGGCGACGAATTCGGAAAAAAACAAGATGTATGTCGTAGTAACGTAATTAGAACACCCCAGTCACATATATGGCATGTTGAAAGAATGAGGACGGTTTTTATTGCGTTATTTATGTGAACATCACCCGTTGAAAAAAATGCGGCTCATGACAATCATGAATTAACTAAACTTCATTTGTAATAAACAAACTTTCCTTGGGCTTGGAAAGTTGCCAATTTCAACGTATGCGACTATACGTTAATTACAGCGACCAAAATGCATTACTTATTTAATAACGAGTATGTACTGGGAAAACAATTCACTACACACATTTCATTTTCAGGATTTCGTCAAAAAGTGGGCAATTGAAATATTATAGGAAATTCGTGCTCGCTTTTGCTCTTCTTACCTATACCATGAATTTAACAAGTACCTCCCTGATATATGTAGGTACTTTATGTCGTATTCGTTTTCCAGTAAATTTGCGATTTCATTTGTAAAAAAAATGCACCTACATGAATGAAAGTAAAGTGAGGTATATATGCGATGTTCGCTTCAAAACCAACCACCGATTGTAATATCTAATTTAGACAAAGTATTCACCCCCGCACTCCATCAATTAATTAATCATTTTATTATACATGTCACTATACATAATAGTAGTATTGGAATGTCACAAAAGTAAACAGACACAAATAATACGTGCAATAATAACAAATACACTGTGTCTGAGATTTCGATTTTGCAAACTTTTTAACCCCAAAATGTCGGTTTCGTATCTTAGTGCTTTTGTATAAACCTAGAAGTGTAGAGGGCGAATGTAGGACATCTTGCCTTGTGTAAAACTGCTCTGGACCAGATGCGTCTTTGTTGAACAGCATTCGCCATAGCCGCACTAAAAATCTTCAAGGTTCTCTCAGAATTAAGTTACTGAAGCTATGTCCAGTAGACATATCAAAAACCTTGCAAACACACGTATGCTACGTAAAAACAAAACAGCAATCAATCAATTCGATTTGTAAATATAATAGCAATATTTACATATAAATGGAACTTAATAGTGTTATGAAACATGCGCCATCACCAATTTAGATATTCAATTCACACAACTGTGAACTAATTGGTATGATATTCCACATATTCTGAGTAGATTGGTACATTACGTTAGTAATCCTTGAAGCAAACGGGCATGACAATAATAACAAAAAATTTCGTAATCACACATTTGGGGCTAATAGGTCATTTAAATACAATGCGATAAATGCGTAAACACATTAGTACCTATCTTTGCTTAATTAGCCTAATTATACTGAGAATCATGTACCTATTAATTAAATTTTTATGTTGTTATATGGGATATGAATCCATTACAATGAAATACTAAGCAATGCCTGCCTACATACACTGTGTCCAAGATAAGGATGTCTGTCATGGAGATCCATTTCGGACACCATAGACGGTCAAAATAGAGAAACGTTGGGCAATTAGACAGTTATTATCATGCTGTAAAGAAAGTTCGTATTTTCCATTTTTCCGGAAATTTGTCCCATCTCGCACGATTAAGGCGTTGTGCGCGGATGCACCATCCTGCTGAAACCAACAGTTTCCAACGTTTGTTTTTTTGTGTA